ATTCAGATTTCAAGGCTTTTTGATTTTTTTTTTTTTTTCTGTCATGGCATTTTTTTTTTAATCTTCTGGTGTATTTGAGAAACATTTCTCTTTAAAGGAGCAAAATGTCTGCAGAGGAAGGGGCTGTACCAAAGCTGGAATGCTATGTTAGTTGCTGAGTACAGCTGAAAAAGTTAAATAGCTAGGCCTACAACTGGCAGTAAAATTACATTTGTAAGCAGTATTATTCATATATCTACTAGTAAAATAAAGAGAGTGATGACATCACACTGTTTCCATCTGTGGAAGCTGGCCTTGGTTTTGTCTGCTATGTTAGTGCAGTGTGTAGATACCCAGTGAGAAATACAAACTGCACTTTTAAAAAGAACACTTTAAGCTTTTAAATTTGTCAGTCCTTGGAATAATGGACCATGTTGTACGGTTACTGTAGAAATACTAGAGGAGGGATGCACTTATAATGTGTAGCAGTAGGTGTTGCTAACAACATTGAGATTTTTGGGGGCATTGGTGCAAATGGGAAAACTACTAGAAGATGCTCCACTGTTGTAGCTATCTATGTCAATGATACTGACTGTGTCCAGGCTGCCTGCTTCTGTTCTGTTTCTGCTTCAGGCAGCTGCATTGATGTCTCTTTTGCCTGTATGCTAATCTGTCCTGTATAGATGGAGTTTAAAAGTGAATTTGTTGACCTTCAGCTACACTCATGGGCTTTTTTACTGTTAAATTTCCTGGTAGCTTTAACTGAGGTTAGATGATTTTGCCCACGTGAAGGAGGTAGTGATGTCAGAACTGGCAGCAACATTATGTCATACTTCAAATGTCAGATCTGGCAGTTAGGAAGTAAAAACTTTTGGATACTGATTCCTATTATTGCTGGCAAAATGTGCTGATATTTTTCATTTTAGTACTGTCTACACGCTTCTAGTGAGCAAGTGACGTTTATCTGAAAAGTTCTGTGTTACAGCAGTGTTGAACACTAATAAGTCGTGATATATTGTGGTGGTTTTTTTTTTTTTCTTAGTGCTTAAAAAGTGATTTCTAGAATAAATTAAAAAAAAAAAAAAAAGTGCTGAAATAGGGATCTTAACGGACTCCTGATTTAACCAGCATCAAGTAACATAAAAACTAAACTACTTGTGGAGCAGCAGATACTTTTGTTGTGTTTATCTTCTGCTACTGTTCTCATTTAACTTGAAGTCATCTTAGCTTAATCTCATGATTTTTTTACTGTTACTGTAGTACCCTTTCTGCTTGAGAATGAATTGTTTTCAAAGCAGTGTTATCAACATTCTGTTCTGTCCAATTTCTTGTTTCTACCAGATTTGAGAGGGTGGCACATTCAGAGGATAAATTGCAGTTTAAATTTAAAAATTATTTTTTTCCCCTTTCTCAGTAGAAGTGATGCCACCACACATTAAAGTGAGTGGAAAAGTACAGACGAAAAATCTGTTAAGTGAATTATTCAAACTATTTCTATATTGTATGCTTCATAGCAAGAAACACACATGTGCAGGCCACTGGTAGCTATTTAAATAATTTTGGACTGGTTTTTGACAATTTGGGGATGTGCATAGATGACCAGTAACTGCTGGCATGTAATTATGCAGCCATCTGACAGCTGGTCATGGTTATGGTGTTCAGGAACCTCTTCGATATCTTTTTGTTGAACAGGTAAGTTTGTCCCCTTTATGAAGTCTGTGTTGTGTTACTAGGATTATCAAGGATTTCCTTATCTCTGGTACTTAATGGTTATAATTTCAGCCAGGAGAACAGGGAAAGGTGAGAGCTGTTACAGCTGATGGGCTGCTGAACAGGGTATTCCACAGGGACAGAAAAAAATAAAAATCAGAAAACCAAAACACAGAACAAGGGAAGAGCTATTGTCTAAAGAATTTTATTAAAATAAAGGCTGTTTGGTCTAATGTTCCTTCTGTTTCCAGATCTCCTGTTATTTCAGTGAAGTGAGGTTTCTAACCTGTGTTGTCAGGCTTTTCTCATAGTTGGGAATAAATCCATTTGGGGTTTTCTGACCATTGTTTTTCTTGGCTTTAGGATGAAAGGTCTTTGGATTGTAGTAAGGCTGTATTTGGATAGGCTTCTACAGATTAGCTGAACTGGAATTCAAGTAGTCTGGACTCTTTCAGAAGGCATTTCAACATCTGAAACATGTAGGTAAACTCCACCGCAGTGGATAGCAGCTTGCCTGTCCCTAACAGCTTCAAAATCCATCTTCTGTAGACTCCAGTTTAGTGTGATTTGTGAAATTCTGAGCTTCCATATCCAGGGCTTAAATTGCTGCTATGGTACACCAGTTATGCTTTTTTGTATCAGTATTGTTTCAAGTAATCTGCAGTGCATTATCCGTTCTCACTACAGAGGAATCTTACCTTGTGGAGGACTGCTTGAAGTGCCCTTTAGCTTCTCTGCTGCTATCAGCTATTTAAACTCTGTTGTATGGGTAAAGGCCCAATGTATGCAGAAATTGCAAATATGCCCCAGAAGATATGTTCTCATCTAGTCTTGCGTTGTAGAAATGAATGCATCCTAGAAAAGAGCTTTGACTCTTACTTATAATCAGGTAGTAATTTGTTTATTGTCCTAAAATAAAGCAAATTATTTTTCTTATAATCTTTTTTATTCTTTAAAGGTAAGAAAATATATGCTTCAGTGTTTAGGGATTTTTCTGAAGTTGAATTTTATAATTAGATAATGAGGAAAATATGAAAAAACATACACATATTGAACATTCAGGAGAGGATGAGGATGTAGATGTGAGGTTTTATGCATTTGACTGTGTCCAGTTTTAAGCTTCTTAGTGCAAGAAAGCTATTTATTTGAGGAAGTTCAGTGGGGGCCACCAAGATAGTCATAGCAGATGGCTTCTGAGGGGAACCTGAACGAACTGGGCTTGTTCAGCCAGAAGAGAGAAGGGAGATTTGTTAACAATCTTATGTAACTTTTTTGAGTTTACGAGAGCCAGGTGCATTTTCTTGCTGTGCTACTTGGTCAAGAGAGACAATGGTTATAAACTTCTGGTTCTGACTGGATATAATTGGAGCTTCACACTAGGAGGCTCATTAAGCATTGGAACAGGTTGCCCAGAGAGGATGTGAAATATTTCTTTGGAAATCTACACGACCAGAGTGTCCGAAGCCTTAAGTAGCCTGATCCAAATCTGATGGTGACTTTTGCTTGAGCAGGCGATGAGACTATAGGACTGCACAAGATCCTTTCAAACATAGAGGGTTCAGCAATTATGCTTCCATAACTTCATTCTCCTTCCTCACTTGTGGCATTTATAGCTTAACATTAGTACCTCTGCCAGTATTCCCCTGCCCTTGCAACAGGCTTCCTCCCATGTGTTTGCCTTGCACTCAAGATGGAGAAATGCTCTCTATGGTGTCTGTGATGTTGAAGAAATTATCTCACCTTTGCTGTTAACAATTCCCTATTTTTTTTTCCCCTCACTTGCGTATGTAGGTACATGGAGATGACCTTAGTACTCTAAATAGGTTTCCTACAAAGCAGAAAACTTCTACCTACATAGCAGAGTGGTGCTTGGAAAATGGTGCATATCAAACTGATTGAATTCAAGTCACATTGATGTTTTGCATACTAGGGAAGTTCTGTGGTAGTGTTTGCAAATAACATCTTGTAGAAGATGTAGGCTGTTTGAGTAGTTGCTTATAATAAAGCCAACAACAACCAAACAGTAGGGTAGGCTACAAGGTCTTAGAATTCTTTTCTGGATTTAACAGTAAAGTAAAACTTGGTAGAGTCATGCAGTCTTCTGCAGTGGCTCTGTAGGTAGAACTACTCATTTAAAGATACCTGACACAAGAAGAAAAACCTAAAATGTAGTTGATTATTTACTTCAGTAAACTTCAGCCATTTTAGTTGAAATCTCACGTGTCAGGTCTTTCCCAGGTAGGCTCTGATCAAAATAAAATCAACAACAAACAAAACCCCAAACCCATGTGATGCACCTTCATTTGCCGAACGGTGGGAAGTTTAATTACTTAAGAGTTATGAATTTTCTTAGATCTCTGGATTTCCCCACAAATATAGATTTCTTCCACATATTTCCGCAATTTCTTCCTGAGCAAGTTGTAAGTGATGCTGCAAAGATGCAGCCAGACGTTTGCGTAATTGCTGCTTGCTGGAACTAAGGGCAGGCAATTGCTTGTCTTCACAAAACTTAACAACCTGGTGAAATAAAAGGTGGAGATCTTGCATTTGTCAAGGATATGCCAACTACTACAGCTGTTCAGTTTCTCATAAAAGCTGTTCCACAAGTCTGCATCCGAAACTCTTAACTAGAAAATTCTGTGTTGTAACAAAGTTGCATTAGAACACATCTCTTTTTTTTCTGATGGGTATGGATTGCTTGGCACCCTCTCACCCTGCTCTGCACCTTACTTTTGATGAATTTTAGCAGAAACTTGTTGTCTGAGCAAAACTGGTTTAATTCCTACTTGCTTCGATTTCCATGTATTTTTGCTGCAGAGTTCTAGCTAAACGGAGGTTAAATAATATAATTAATCTTGTCTTAAAATCGCTTTTTATCCTCTTATAAAAGTAGGTGATTCTGGTTACCTACGTATAGTTGTTAGAGGCTCTTTAAGTCTGAGAATGCTGCCAGTGTGTAAACAGTCTTTCGGTGTGGAGATTGCAGGACTGGTTTTACTTGTGCTGAACCAGAAGAACTGCTAGTTTTACATTATCTGCTAGAGGCAGTCTTGCAAAACCGTTCTTTGTCTTCAGGGCACGTAGCCTCTTTCTGTTCATGTTGCTCTATTTTGTGTATTGCTAAACTTCCTCCAAGCAACCTGTAACATTGTGGTTCTTTGGGTTTATTTTGGTTTGGTTTGTTTTTTTTTTTCTCCAAACTAGAGAATGGGATTCCTTTTTATTAAGTTGGCTGCATCGCTCTAATAATGTGTTGTCACTGTTATATACAGTATAACTGATTCTGAATACTCCTTTTTATTTTCCAATAGGCTGGTGTTTGGGATGCTGTATCCTGCATATTACTCATACAAAGCTGTGAAGACAAAAAATGTGAAGGAATATGTAAGTCACACTCCTTTTAATTGCTTAATTACACGCCTCTGCTGACATACATTACACAATGCAATAAATCACATGAAATCTTTATTTGACTAACTTAGAATTAGATACAACACTTGTGTGAGCCTAGTGTTAATCCTGGGATTTTGTCTGGAGGGCTAAATTTAAGGTAAGGTTTCTTAGACTTTTTCTCACATACTGTGCTGAAATGTGTCCAACACATTATGCTGTATATGAATGTTCTTAAGAGGATTTTTAAACATAATCCTTAAAGCGTTGACTGCACTTCAGTGAAGGGCCCAAAATAATGTACTTTTGGGTGGGGGTGGAATAAAGGCTCCCTGGTTCTGCTAACACCTATAGTATAAGCAATGGCAAATTGATTCTCAATGACCACTTGAAGAATAGTATCAGTATAATTGTCATTTTTATAGAGCTTAGTAGGGGATTCAAATCAACCCTAAAAAAGGGTGGCTGTGGCTAATCTATTGTTCCTCAAAGAGGAGGAAAAAATGTAACTAGAGAAGGAAATGATTTGGTTAAGGTGATGTGGAGGAAAGAAGAACAGACAGAAAAGTAAGGTGGAGAAAAACACAATTACTGTAGTTACTGCAGTTCAGAATTAATCTGTTAAATTATTTACTTTTCAGTGTAAGCGATGATGATTACCACAAGAATGTTACCCAGTTGCAGTCACAAGGCGCTTTTGGTCATTGAGTTACTTACCTGTTTTAAGAGGCAGCCTTTTGGCAACTAACCTATATACTCTCCTGAACCTTGTTCTGAACTTGGTTGCCTGACTCAGGATGGAGTCAGTGCCATCACTTTAACTTGGCAGCTGTAGCTGTGACCTAATGCTGCTGTCTGGATGTATGGATGTCTCTGCTTTGTACGTGGTTGCAGTAGTAGAATGCAGTAGCTGTTGTTCCTCTTGTATGTCTTGCATGTAGTCTGATTGCTCCATCAGGGCTCCAAAGTGTACATCGTATTCATACTTCTGGTTTCTGGATACAAGCTGATTAGAGCTTACTTGTGCACAGAGAGCTAGTGTGTGCCAGACCAAAGCTTCTGGGAGATTAAAAACAAACAGAAAAAAAGAATAATATTTTTTTGTCTCATGCTTACTTTACCCTTTCAGGAAGGTACGTAATGCAAAGAATTTATAATCTGCTTTTCCTCCCCACTCCCTCAGAAGGGATCCACAGGCTAAGTAGAGGATAGCAGTTTCAAACTCTTTTAATAGAAGAAATGACTTTAAGAGGTTACCATTACCTCTTGTAATGTGTTTCCTAGGAAAAAAGAAATTATGTTTGTAGAATGCTCAGATTTTTTATTCTTACCTCTTGTCCAGTTAGCTATGACTTGTCCATAGCTATGACAGCTATGTCTTTCTTGGGCATTTTTTTTTTAGGTATGCCTGTCATTTACATAAGAGCTTTAGTAGGGCCTGGAAACGTATTTTTCCAACTGTGTATTTTCATAGTGTGAAACACTGGTTTTCAGTCATATGTGGTCTTTGAGCAGTCCCTGAACTTGCAGTTGCATCAAAATGTTCATGGGGCTGAGATGAATGATACCCATCACAGTGACTTTTCCACAGGCAGGGAATGGCACTGATTCATCAGTGGATTGCTACTCTATTGATGGTTGGGTTGAATGTCCAAATATATCTTGAAGACAATCCTTGGCTTTAATGTTCCCAGCTGGGTCAATTTTCTTTCAGGGAGGTTTAACTGCAGCCTTCCAAATGGCACACCTCTGCTGCCAGCTGTGTAATGGGCCAAGCACATCTGCCTTTCCAGGGTTATATGTGGCTCAGGAGCCACTTGTTTTTGTTTGCTGGATTGCAAGAGCTTTGTAACAGTGAAATTATTTACTTACTCAACCTTTCCACGGGTGAAAAAGCAAACACAAAGTGCAGGTATCTTCACTTGCTGTGTAGGTCATGATGCTGCAGATTGTTTAAAGTTTATTTCAGGGGGTGAGAAGAGTTACTTCTGGTTGTGGTAATCTAAAAGATTTACAGACTTTAGTTCTAGAAATTAGGATCTGTGCCTTTTAAAAGATGTATTTGTTCTTGTAATTGCCCTTTTTTAATGGCTTTGATTAATAATCTTTTGAGGACTTTCTTCACTGTGTTACACTATAAAGTGCTTGTAATAAGCCTCTGAAATGTAGTTTTGAAGTCTGAACCACCAGTCTTCTCAAATCCTGGCTTCAAAATCCGGACTTGGAAAGATGTGCTTCGGCCAGATCCACCAAAGATGAGCTTAACAGTTGGAAGGTAAAAAAAGAAGCTTGACAAACCAAATTATAAGCTCTCTTTTGGAATAAAAAGCAGAACTCCATCAAAGCTTCTGTAACTTCATCTTTAAGAGTTAAGTAGATGATAGTCTGGGCAGTGTCAAATAGGACTTTCTGTTTTTCTTCTTGTTTTCACCACTCTATGAAAATCCTGTAAGTCACTCAGATTGTTGTCAAGGATGCTTTGGTACCTAATGCATTAGTTGTACTAGAATATGATCTGGCTTGTATTTTTGAGAATCTTTGCCCAGACTTCAGCAGGACTCATGATCTCATGTGCCCTTCTGCAAAACATTTCTTACTGTTCCTAGCAGCCCAAGAGAAACTTCACTTCTAGTGCTCTAAATTGGATAAATAGATGTTGATTCAAGAATTAATAGCCTGGATAAAATATATTGGGGGAGGAGAAGAAATCAGTCTTTCATGTCATCCTAAAAATTGCGTTGCATCGCATCATGGTTAGGTTGATGGAGCAAGGGTGGATGTTAATTTTATCTTTGTTCAGGTGTTGACTCCGGTTCATGGAAAGGTCACCAGTCTGAATGTCACATGTCCTGTCAGAGATGACTTCAGCTGTTGTGTAAGCTTGTCTTAGTTTATTCAAGCCTGAAATATCTAAATCCTTTGAGAGACTGAAGTGAAGAATGTCATCACATGACTGAGCTTCTTTTCAAATTGAAATGCAGAAAGCATTTAAGATAAATGGGTCGAAAGTTGTGACAAAGGAAGTGATTTTTAAAGCATAATGTATGGCTATGAAATAGGCAGCAGTGTAGCATTAGGTTTTGAGTACTTCAGTCCACTTCAAAAAAAAGATTGCTTTATAAGTGAAGATTGTCTAAAGAACATCCTCTGTAGGAAAGTATGTATGTTCCCTCTTTTAAAAGAGGGTACATGAATTCAACAAATACAGAGTTTAATGCTTTGTGGGTGTACCAAAGAGTTAGTAGTCTATATATTTTTTTTATAGTCTATGATGTAGTACATAGTAGTCTAGACTACTAGACTAGTTAGTAGTCTATATATTTTTTTATAGTCTATGATGTTTTTTTGGATGGTGGTTTTTATTTCTTTTGTTTGGTGGTGTTTTTTTTTTTTGGTTGATATGGTTTTTTTTTTTTAGCTTGTTTTTATCTGTTTTGGTTTTATTCTAGCATAGGTAAGTGTTAAAATTTAAAGAACATGTGGGTGTTCAGTTAGTATGAATAACTAGTGATGGTTTGCACTAACCTGTTTTGAAAATACATTGCACTTGGCCACTGATGTCCTACAGAAGACAAATGCGTGGAACTACTACTATAATATTTATTCTGGAAGATGTAATCAGTTTAGACAATCAGATTTAAACAAATGTTCAAGGAAAATGAATGATTTAGTTAACTGTTAGAAAACAAAACTAGAACCTGTATTTTAAGAGCATTGTCTGGTCTCAAAACAATGATGTATAGAGTAAATCTTAAAACAAAAAAGCATACAAATGTAGCCCCCTGAAGCATTAAGATGCTTACATGTGAGCTCTCCTGTTAACAATAATTTTGTGGTTCTTGGCATATGCATAGAATTAAATTTCCATGAAAATGCTTTTTCCTGCCTTGGCCCATGTTGGTTAATACCATAATGCTAAGCACGCATGTAGAACTTAACTGCAGAGTGTAGCTGAATAATCTATATCGTGAAATGAAAGCAAGGCTACCTGAGATACTAATGCTGACTTGCGTGTGTGTAGTATGAACACGGATGAGTGTGGAAGAGAGTGAAATATCCTTTAGTACTATAGTGGGAATTGTGCTGCATACTTGTGATAATATAGTGGTCTTTGCAGTGGTTTTTCTTATCACTGAAACTATATAACGACAGAATAAAATATGTGAAGCCAGCCTAGGTGAGGTTGTGACCCAGGCATTTCACTTAGTTTGTTATAGTTGCTGCCAGTTCTACTTAAGACCAGAAGACCCTTAGGACCTTCATAAGATTTCACTTCAAACCCAGTTGATGCAGGCTGAGATACTGTTGAATGTCTTGCTCTGACAGCTCTGAACTGACTGTACAGTGTGTAGTGTATTCTGTATAAAGATGAAATCAGAATTCTTACTGAAGATGCTGTTTTTATTTTCAGGTCCGCTGGATGATGTATTGGATTGTGTTTGCTCTTTATACAGTTACTGAAACAATAACTGACCTAACAGTCTCTTGGTAAGAGCCTGCTTTTTATGAACTCTGGGAAACCATACCTGTTTCTCATGTTTTTAATTTGCAATGAATTAATTTTTATAAAGAAGTTGTGCTTGTTGGTAGTCCTTTTTTTTTTTTTTTCCCAGAAAAAGATCTTTGTGTTTGTGAAGAGTAACATCTGTTTCCAAGCTTGCTGTACAGTGTCACTGGAAGTAGGGACTATAAAGCTTCCACCTTTGCTGTAGAAACTGAATAGCAGGATGAAACTTTTACAAGCCTGGACTGTAATTTCTCTGTGCAGGAATGTTTAATGTGAAGCAAGTATATTAACTGTTCTCATCTATTAAATGAGATTGCAGTCAATTAAAACAATTAAATCCATATTTAATTTTTGTCTAATATAACTTCTTGTATGTAAAGAACCCTATATGCTAATATGTAATTGTGTTTTTTGAAGAAATATCTTAATGGTGATTAATTACTGTGCGTTTTCTTAATGCAGTTTTTTAATGCAACCTTTAACTTGCCTGTAGGTTTCCACTGTACTATGAACTGAAGATAGCTTTTGTTATCTGGCTTCTTTCACCATATACTAGAGGGGCAAGTTTAATCTACAGAAAATTTCTTCACCCACTTCTTTCTTCTAAAGAAAGGGTAAGAAATAACGTCTCACATTTTAATGCCTAATATGGAAATACCATATGCTGAAGTACTAACTGTTGCTAGATACATGATAAAAGCAGATCAGGATGTTACTGTTTTGCCAGGCAGCATAAACTTGGACTAGCAGAGACAACTGCATATGTATGCCCGTATACATGCTTCAGTTTGACTTGCATGAGCAGACAATGTACTACTTTCTATTGACATAGCTTTGTGTTCTCTGGTCTACCTAGTAGATTTTGGGAAGCCCAGTTGAGTGGAAGTGATTTAGTTTGACTTTCTCCTGGATTAACATGTGCAGTACTTTGTGCAGAAGCATGAATGCAGTTTTAACAACTGTTCATGTTACCACTTTTCCTAGTGCAACCTAATAATAACATTTCTCAGGACAAATGAAATTGACTTCTCTGTCGTGTGAACTGACAGGGTAGGAGGAGAGACTTTCTGCTGAGGTTTAAGGGAAGACCATTCAGGAACAGAAAATAGCTAAAGGGTATTTAGCTTTAGCCAAAGTATTACAGGATCTGCTTAGATCTTTTTCCATATCCTGTTTGGATGTGTGGAAAGAGTGATTAGCAAAGGTGGTAAGACTACCACTGGAAAACCTCCCAGGACAAAAAATAGCATTCATAAATGTCAGTGCTGGGCTTGGCCTTTATTAGGCAAAACAGGTAGTTACATGATTGCCACTGATATGAACAGTAAGGTCATCTTGACTTTCTGAAGGTTGAACTGTAAACTATTTGCAACTTCATAAAATAAAGGGATTTTTACCTGTAGTCTTCCAGCTGTTGTGACTACCTTGAAGCCTTTATCTCCAGCTCTAGACATTTACCACAGCTGGGGATAAATGTCATGACCGCTTGGTACTTAACTGTGTCAGAACTCTGGCTTCAGAAGTTCTCTGTGAGCCAAGTCTGCTTTCTAAGGAGCTCTCTGATTTCATGTGAAGCATTTCTTAAAGACCTTTTGCCTTACAAGTTAAGCTTACCCTCTGTAAGGAAGTTGCTATGTAACTGCCAAGTTTCTGTACTGGGCAAAAGTGATCTGTTTTATCTTTTTTGACCACACATCCTCTTTTAAATGAGAGAGTATAAGTGAATGAAACATCAGTATACAAAGGCAAGAGTAATTGTCCTATTAAATATTTTCTTAAAGATACCTTCTGGTGTTTGTTGATGGAAAAATAATACTGTGGGGTAACGTGACTCTCTTATGCATAGACATGTAAAATTTAAGTATGTTTTGCTTTTAGGAGATTGACGAGTACATCGTACAAGCCAAAGAAAGAGGCTATGAGACCATGGTGAATTTTGGAAGGCAAGGGTTGAATTTGGCAGCAACTGCTGCAGTGACAGCAGCTGTAAAGGTAACTTTCTGCTTGCATTAGTTGCTTTGCTCCTTGATCTAAACCAGTGTAATTATACTGAGGATTTGCCATTCCTTAACAAAAATATTGATTCTGCAAATGTATTGAAAACCTGGAGCACAGCTGAAGGGTTGCAGTCCTCTACTCCTCATCCTATATTTGTTTTTTAAGATGGCTTGTAGTTTGTTCTTCTATAATGGGGATTAGTTTACTGTAATTCAGAAGATACCATGGAGATTTCTATGCAGGCTTTTTGTAAAGATGACTTGTTTCTTTTCTGTCTCTGTTATTCTTTCTTGTTTGTAAACAAACTGTTTAAAGGATTTCTGGCTTTTCTGCTGTTTTTCTCCAATCAACTTGAAGTAACTCCACGTATGAAGTAAGGCATGACAGATTGCTAGCGCAGATAAAAGTTACCTTGACGCAATTAACTTGTTTGCAACTCGTTGACTGAATTATTAAATTAATACACTAAGCATAAGCTTGCATTTTACTCTTTAGCATACTTTTGCTTTGTCCAATTTCCATGAAGTAACCTGTCATTGTTCCTACAAAACTCATGGCCTTCAGGTGAGTCTCAGAGAAAAACAAAATACAAGCTTACAAGTAAGATTGTAAGCACCCTGTGGCCCACAAAAGGGGTATAACTTCAGGCAATGTGTATCCTACCTAATATTCATTTAAACCAAAACACAAAAAATAAGTATGGAAAGAAAGATTAATATAATTAGTTGAATGATAGTTTTAAGGTGGTCAGGATGAATTTCTTCCTGGGAATTAATGAAACTGCTGTGTTCATAGTAACAGGGCTGGAAACCTGAACACTGTTAGTATATGACTGAAAGCTAGTCTGTGTAGATGTCCCTGACTGTCATAGTACGTACAGCTAGCATTTAACTTGTATTTCTGTGCTTGTATGTGAACTTCTTACTTTATGAATCAAAGACATCTCTAAAAACCTACATTTTCAAATGTTGTCTTGAAAATGTTTGGAAAAAGTCATGCATTTTTTTATTTGTCCATTCTCTCTCTTTTTTAAAGATATATGTGGGTGGGAACATAAAATGGCACTTTATGGGCATAATGAGCCTAAAATACTAAGATTCAGTTTGATCACCAGTTTGTTTTTGTTATTCGAACTCTCAGTATTGCCTCAAGGCAGGAAATTATTTAGAATGAAATGGAGTACACCTCTAAAGGAATGAAAGTATTAATAGTGGAAAAGGGCTATTTAAAAAGAAAAAAAGGACACCCCTCCTCCCTCAACCCAAGCAAACTTAACAAACAAAACCTTAAAATACTCTACTGGGGAAGATGTTTAAGTAAGAACTAAGCTAAATGCTAAAATGCAAATTCTTTGCCAAACAGCAAATTATAATTTATTACAGTGTGCACCTGTAATCATACTTATGTTTTTCTTGTGTCTGGCTGTCTGGCTAAGACTTTTTTCTATTTCTTGTTAATTCTTATGGTGTTACAGAAATATTGTTAAATAAATAACACAAATATCTCCTCCCACCTTCTACTGATATAATGAATAACTTTTTCCTAAATGTGTGTGTTTTAGATTTCATTGCCATTCAGCTGTGACTGGCAAGGTGCCTGCTCTGTTTGTTAAAACTTGTTAAACATGCTTGTGAATACTTGTACAGCATTAGTTCAGTGCGGATGAGATGCTTGGGCAAAACTACCACCACAATACCAAAGACCTAAAATAGATATGATATTTAAACAGTATGAAAGAGGATACTCTCTCAAAATCTGTATTTTGGCATGTTAAACTTCTCTTTAGTTTGTCATTCCAAAAATCTGAGCGTGACTGCTCTATGCAAGCAAATGGAGACAATGCATGTGTTCCTGATTTTGTCCCCTGTTTTTCAAGAGTTGACTGCTGCCTCCAGCAGGTGAAAAGATTATTCCTTCAGCGTGAGCTGGTGGAGCATGCTATAGGATTTCAGGAATGGAATCCTACTAGTGGGATCAGTTTTGATGGGAAGAAGACACACTTTCATCACTTTTCAGGAGCAGGCATGCTTATTCTGACAGATCTTAAATTAGGAGTAGAGAATGTGGGAGGCTAAACACAAGAGCTCCAAAAAAAGCTTCTGTTCACTGAAGTGTCCAAGCAAAAGACAAAAATGTCTGCTTATGCTGACTTGGAGGGTGATAAAATTGCTTGAAATTCTCTGGAATATTTTCAAGATCAAGCATGGGAAGGAGTGGTTTACTCCAGGGGCTGTCAAAGGAATTAAAAGGCTAGTTGGCTCTGTAGGGGAAGCTGGAGCAGACAGCCAGGTCAGTCTACTGAAATTTGACATAGGTTTAAACATGCTCCACTGTAGTTAAGTTGAAATGTAATTGGCAGGAGTCATAGCTTATAACTTACATTCCTATACTGATATTTTTAGCTGGCACTTGTTAGCCACTGTTGACGTAAAACTTAGTGTTTCAAAACCTGCTAAATAGCATGCCTTAACAAAATAAATTGTGTTAATTTATTGTGGCAGAAAACAAATCTTTGTAAAATCCCACTTTCAGAAGTTTGGGATGAAGTATGGTCTGGGCTGACTTTTCCTGTTTATTAATAAAAATTTTCTTTGGGATATAAAATAACAACAAGATGCCTTTAATGACAGGAAAGTTGTTGGAGCTCTTTCAGCTCAGTAGTATATGGATATGTGGAAATCGTATCTACAACACTGATATGTCTATTCAACTGATATATCTATTTTGATGCATCTGCTTTCCAGGTCTTCTGAAGTCCTAGTTACCTGTATATTCCAATTTTTGCCAACACATAAATTCTGACTTTTCAAGTTACTAGCGAAAACTGGTTTCTGTATCACCACATGTGGGACAGCTGCTGATTAAGCTGTGACATGCACTGTCCTTCTTAATGAGGCCACACAATTATTGTTCATTTGTAAAGCAGTATTTGGTGGTGGTGATGATAATATATTTTGAGGGCTGTGTGTCTGCATGTCTTTGAGTCATCCTGGATCTGCTGCTTCTTTGCTGGTTGAATATTAGTCTAAAGGCCTTGTACAGACTTCCTCTCTTCTTCCCACTCAGGGCATGGCAGAGGAAGGAGGTGTCTTGCAGCCAGCTGGGGCATACAGCCAGTATCAGTACTAACAGTTCAGCTCACTAGCAATACTGCTCTCATCCTTCCTCCCTGCTGGGATTGCCTGGCATGCTGCAGAGGTCATTCGCGGGACAGCAGTCCCTCTCCAGGTTGAGAGGGAGCAGAAGTCATTCCCTGTCAACTCTGATTGGATCAGGGAGAGAACAGCTGGGAATGTGGGTGCTGCACACTGCAGCTCTGTAGCCACAAAGCTCCAAGCATTTCTGTGGATGCAGAGTCCATTGAGAACTTGTCCAATGAAGGCAGGCAGCTTTATTCAGTGATCCTGACTACTGAGAGGCTGCAAGTCCAATTTAAGCAACAAGAGTCCCTGCAGCAGAGGCTGTGTGGTGTCTGGTTAGAGCAACTTCCCTGGGTTAAGCATATAGACTATAAAAATACATGCTCAGTAACAAAATAGAGAATGGCATTTCATATATGAGGGTCAGCTGATGAGACTGCATACTAATAGCTTACTGGAGTCTGAGTAGTCTCAAAAGGAGTCTCTTAAGTAGGCTATATTTATAAGAAACTGGACTTAGAAACCTATTACAACTTTAATTAGTGTTTCAGGTTGGTCACTTCTAATGAATGTGGTCTCTCAAAAGCGTTTTGTATGTTTTAGGAAATACTGTTGAATAAATAAACTCATTATTTAAGACCTGTTTTTCGTTTAAGATGACACAAATTTTGTGGTTCATCTCTTGGGTGTTCACTCACATAGATACTTGAGCACTGAAATTGTTCTGTGCTTTTTTTGCCTGCATTGTAGTTGTAAGTGTGTTTGTCTCAATCTTTTGTAGTGTAATTTAGTTGGCAGCCTCTGGGCTGGATGCAGCCTGCAGTCTTTCTTCCTTACTGGTAGGAACTGTGGAAATAATAGGACACCAGTGCAGGTGTGCCCACTGCTCTGTGATCTTCTTGTGAGCAGCATACTGGGGCTCTGTGTGTGGCAGGGGAGAGGTGATTGCTGCTGTCATGCCCATGGTATGAGTGTGGATGTGGGAGATCCCTTTCAGGTCCACCTGCGATTAGATTGCTCTAGTTTGTTTTGTGGGCAAACGTCTTCCTTCCAAGCTCTGACTAGTAACTCTCTCAGCTTTGAAACAAGATACCATATTTCTTAATGCATTAATATTCTAAATGTGAATGTTACTTTCACATTTCTTGCAGTAGAGGGTATTAAATACTTTTCAGCCATTCATTCTGAGCTGATGGTGATGAAGATCTGGAATGCTTTGTTTCAGCAGAAAGCAATTATCTGCTGCTTCTGAGCATGGAACATCGAAGAATCTTTGTAAATCTTAAGTGCTGCATGAGCATAGTGATGTGTTGGGTTTTGTTGCAGTTTTTTTTTTTTTTTTTTTTTTTTAACTAAAACACACAAAACATCTTAAAATGTGGCCTCCAGCTGATCTGCAGTGGTGTGAAGTAGAAATCAATCTTGATTTGGCTAGACTTGATCTTTGTAGGGTTGGGATGGAGGCTGCATTCAGGCGGGAGACTGTAGGGGGTACTTGCATAGGATTAGTGTAACATGTGACCATGACTGTGCAGTACAGCAGTGGTTATGCAGTCCCCATTCCTACTGTGACTCTTGGTGTGTGTGTGTGTGTGTGCTGCATCTCTTATTTGTATATGTATCCTTTCAAACTTCTTAACATTCGCTGTGTGTAACTTGAGTAAAACCTTCCATCCTGGTTAAGTAGTTTTAGAATGAAGGGCCCATTGTATGAATCCGTTTGTCCTCCATGAATGAGGCAGTGCACCACAGGAGTTCTAGCCTCAGCAAGAGTGCAGTGTGGTTAAGGAAACAATGTTATTTTGTGGCACATAGTTGACTCCCTCCCCCCTTTAAGGAATAAAATCCTGTGTCCAAAAGCTGCACTGAAAAATAAGACTGAATGTTTCTAGCTTGGATCTAGCCACTATATTTATAAAGGAATAGGAAATACAGGCTCATAATGTGACTTCTTAGCATGTTAGTTATTATAATTTTAATTACATTATCTGGTACAATTTCCACATGTCTTTTTGTAGTGTATAACATGATTAATGAACGCACTGTGCCACTTTAGGCAGGAGTGTCTTTTTATATTTCTGCTTCTGGAGGAATCCAGGATTATGTCCACAGTTAGTGAGCAGGGTTGTGCCTAATTATTTCTGTGGATTCTGCTGAGAACCAACTGAATCCATCTTATGCTTTCATAAGTGTTCAGTGATAGAAACCTGAGTCCAGTTGTTTACCTTCACACAGTGGCTATAGACTGATCAACTGTCTTATGTGTTGTAGCAGATACTGTAAGCTGTTACTTGTTTTCAGAAGAAGCAGTCCTGTCTCTCCAGTTCTCTGCTGTAGTATGCTAGCAGCTGACTGTAAGTTCTCAGGCATATCCAGTTCCTGACTTGGTTTACTGTGCAAATGCTTTTCAATGCAAGAGGTGGACTAGTGGAAGGGCAGGATTCCTGGCTTAAGGCAAGGCAGACCTGCCCTAAATAAGCCTTTTTAGGGAATAAATTTAACTTCAGAATTTCTACAATAATTTACACACAGACTGTGTGTTGTCCATAGTGCATTTTAGTTCAAAGGTGAGCTGTAGTTATGTTCTTGAGACCCATCAGTCGTCCTACATGTATGAGGGAAGAACTAGAAAAGGAAAAGCTTCCACTTCTCTCATACAAAAACCTTCTTTTGTTATGGCTTAGTGGCAATGTATGAATGGTTTTGCAAGAATTAAAGTTCTTATGGACTATGTAGCACACCTAGTTTTAGCTGTACTAATTACTAGTCATTAGAAATGTAATATGAAGTTCCCTTCCTCCCCCTACCCCCCCTTTGGTAGCCATGTAAGCTTAAGGAGTATCAGTACTGTCTCTTCATTCACTTCACATAGCTATTTTTAATATGGAATGATTTAGTGTGCTGGTCTACCATGTGCAAACGGTTGACATGAGTGGGAGCAAATGGCTGTGGCCAGTGGTGCAAGAACTGCCTTATGCTTGTACTGTTGCAGAGATAGGTGTGTGGATTGCTGCTGCTGCAAGCTAACGTATTGCTCAAATGAGGGTTTTCACTTAAAAGCTTCATTTGTAAGAATGAAAGAATGTTGTTTCATTTGTAAGAATGAAATGAAATCTTGAACCCTTGCTCCAAGGAGAATTAATGCATAGGCATGTTAAACTTCTTCTGAAAGAGTTACATTTTTTTTTTCACTTGAATGCCAGAAAGGAAAGAATGAAATATTATTTTAACATGACATTGAGTAATGTGCTTGCACTTTTAGTTGCTTATACAATAAACTAATCTTCAGTGCTTTAGTAACAACATAATTTGATGCAAGATGAAAAGCTGCTTGATGACCATTCTTTCCAAAGAGGAACTTTCTGTATGTCCCAGGTAGAAAAGGTGTAAAGCCAATCAGAGAAGGAATACAACACTAATGTCCAAATGTGGTCATCTATTCTTACCTATAGCATTAGATTTTGGGCTGGGATTATGCCAGTATAGCTATGTTAGTATGAGAACCTGAGAGGCTGTAGTCCAGGCAGGACCTCTTTGGTTTGTGGTTTCAGGTCTCTGACACCTAGAGCTGTTGTAGTGCTGCCAGTTTCTCAGTTACTCGAGTTAATGTTGCAGAGTGTATTTTTAACACATGCATATTCAGATTTGTGGAGTGTAAAATATGAAATAGTGGATATCCTTATCTTCAACCACACTTTTAAAACTGGAAGTGTTAAACACACTGTCACAGTACCTAGCACTGCTGGAAAAATACCATGTTTGAAGTGAATCCAGTGTTTTTGATGTATGCTGTGTTCTGCCCCCCCTCATCCCCATTGAAACACTTCCCCTCACCAAAAAAACCCTTTAGTTGCTCAGATTGAAGGAGTGAAATGAGACATTTGTAATGAAACTGCTAGTTTCTGTAACCTTTTAATCTAGCAACAATATACAGTTAAACCCGAGTTAAAGCAGTAAAGCAAAGACAAATCTGTTGCATGCTTATGTTAAATGAATTTTGTAGGGCAAAAGGAAGCATGGGCTTAAACATCTTAACTCAAATGAATAGCAAAGTTAAACCTCTGCTTTGTTTTCTAAGATATTGTTGCTGTATTTCAGAGTCAAGGTGCCATAACTGAGAAACTGAGAAGTTTCAGTATGCATGATTTGACTACTATACAAGGAGATGAGCCAGTGGGACAGAGACCGTATCAGACATTATCAGAATCAAAAAGGAAAACCAGAGCCTCTGCAAGTGAATCTTCAGGTAAGTATCTATCTTTTCTTTTCCTTGCTAAAAGAACAATTTACTGAAGACAGAAGTGAGAAAGCACTTGTAGAAATGGAGAAGGCCTCTAAGAATTACAGTACACTTAAACAGAGTTGACTTGAGCAAGATATATTGTGACAGTTGAGGAAATTCTCCCTGAATTATTTTCTTCTTGCAGCCACTAAATGTGTAGTTGTACCATACTCGTTACTCCTAAATTATGCCAATTAGTGGTGAGAATTCCTTGCCAAAGCTTAATTGGAAGTAAAAAAATACGTGATTAAGTGGTGTTTCTGTGACAAATGTACAAAAAGTTAACATGAAAATTTATAGAAGCTCAATAAATTTTGAAGACAAAATTAATGGAAATTAATTCAGTAGGTCTTAATGGTAGTTCAAAAGGTGAAACGGCTTGTGGTGATGGGAATAATTAAGGCATTAAGATGTCATAATGGACTGATGCACATCAGTGCTCAAAAGCTGATGGTGCATTGTGTGATGAGTAATATTTTTGCAAAGATACTTTATTATTAGTCTTACTTTATTTTTATATTTGTTATCATCACTTTGCTTTTGAGGCTGTGATCTTTGAAGGAAGGTTTCAGTGGAAGGCAGTCAATCGTACCTTCTTAAATGCTGAAGCTACCCTGTAAAGTAGTTATTTCCCACAAAAGAAATAGTTCTGTTTCTTTTCACCTAAGCCCATCATTTCTTCTCATTCCTCCGTTTTGGGAACGAGTGATGCTTGTAGAGTACAAGGAATTTCAGGAATTGAATGATAGCCCATGGTGTTTCTGAGGAACAAATGGCCACCTGAATGGCCCTAAGCTGTATTGTTAATCGAGCCCAGAAGGTATCCTGTGCAGGTCTGCGTAAAGGCAGGGGGCACTAGCCATGGCATACAGCCATGTATTTATCTAGTGCATTAGGGATGATGTCATTGCAGCTGTTTTGCAGGGGCTATTCCTCAGTAAGAGACCATTAGTTATCTATCTGTCTGTCTAGCTTGGAAATGCTCAAAACTCCGCTTAAAAAACCCCCCAAATCAAAAGCTAGTAGGTTATATGGTGTAAATAACCACTGCTTGTAAGGTTCAATCTCACATGTCAAAATATGAGCTTAGAGCTAGTTTGATTGTTTCTACTTCTGGACCTGAATCTGGTGTATGCTTTTTCTGATTTCTTAGAATTCTTTTCAGCATTAAGGATTTAAAAAAAAGAACAAACCACGGACAGAGTTAGGAGCACTGTATAGCTGTATTTTGTTGTGCTTAGCAGAATGTTGGGTGGTTTTGTCTGAACTGGGAGGTCCTTTGCAAATTAGTCGGAAAGACTTGGTTGTAGGACATTGATAATAAGATGACAGAGTTGCCAGTATGCTTGCTATGAAGAAGGCAGATATGATTTTGATGCATCAGAAGAGGTGTTAGAAATAGAGGTAAAGCAATACTGGTGTCACAGCAAACATCCTGAGTCAGGATGTGATTTAAATCTTCCATATTGAAAAAGATGAATTGAAACTATATTGAAGGCAGAGATTTGTTGTCTTTACAATGGCAGAAGATTCAAGTCTCTGTGAAGTAGCTGTGAAGTAGCTGTGAAGTGTGTGATTGTCTTTCCAATTTCAGGGAAAGAATTAAGTGACCAAAGGAAAAGAATCTAAATAAGCCTAAGGGGAACTGGCTGAAGATGAAATGTGCCTAAGTGAAGTTGGGTTTGGAGTCTAAAAGGTGTCCCTAACTGTTACATCTTGTAGGTTTTGGTATGGCCTTATAAAAGGAGGGCTTGGCCAGGGGGAAAGAAACAGACTGCATTTTGGGGGCTTTATGATACGTCTATGATGGGGCTTCCAGGCTTTTGGACCCCAAGGATCTTCTCAGGACGTGTTTGCGCCCTCTAGTGAGAAGCTTTGGTAATAATCTTGCTCCTATTTTCGCAGGATGTGAACAACCCGTACTAGTAAGTACTTTGACATTGTATCCATCTGAAAAGGACTTTGGTATTAAATAACCAGAGGCGTGCAAGTGGAAGAAAGATCCTATGAATCGTAGAACGCTTTGGATTGGAAGGGACCTTTAAAGATTATTCTGTCAAACACTCCTCCCATGGGTCTTGTGGCCAAAACTCTTAAGTGCTTGTCAAGATGACCACTGAGGTTTTTGCAGTTCAGTGTAAAGCAGAAGATGGTAGAAGGCTGATGGTTTAAATTTTGACAATTGGGGAACCACTGTATCACATAGCTATGGCACAAAGTGGCTTGTTACTTACAAATGGCAGAATTGTAAGTAACAAGCTCCTGGCAGACAAGGTGTTTCACTGTTTCGAAACAGCTGGCATACTGACTGTTTAAAAGCATAAAGGATGTGTGCTAAAGATGAAACTCCTGGCTTTCTTAGAAATCTAAAAGTTACAGTTACTTCTTCTAAAACACTGTTATAAAACTGTTTTTTAAAGGTTACAAATCTCCGCTGGAAAAAAGTCCTGGAGAAGATAAAACAGATGAAGAGATGGAGGGAACACATTCAGAGGATGAAATGTTTGCTCAGAGAGGCCTTCGAAGAACTCAGAGCATGAAATCTGTGAAAAGTATTAAAGGCCGTAAAGAGGCAAGTATAATCTTGGTTAAGTATTGAGTCTGCTTTTAGCAGTGGACGTTGGCTTTTTATTTTTTCCTGAATCTTATAGGGTTTATCAGGGTTTAACTGGGTTGTAGAATGCTAAATGAAGAAGGAAGTATGTAGTAACAACATCAGAGCTTGGAGCTTTTGTACGTTGGGGTGTTTACAGGAAAAACATGAACAAGAAGAGCTAAGTGAGGAAGAAGGGTAAGTAAATGAAATGGACTCTGTGCTTGTAATGCTGATTTTGGCACCACCAAGCTCAGACTCCAGGAACTGCTTACGTGAAAGGGCTGTAGATAGTGATATTGTCATCTGCATTTGTGTGTCTTGGTTTTGCACACTTTAAACATCTGGTGGTCAATTGAATTATTGGAGACTCAGAATTTTTTAGTTCCCATAGGCATATAGCCTGCTTTGACTTTAAGCCACAAAGAGAAGATTCTATGTAGTAGGTTCTATGTAGATTCAAAGTGCTTTATATTCATATGTGTAACACGATTTAAGAATACTTCAAGATAAATCTCCATGGAATCTTAAAAAACTTTTGGGGTAATTCTAGGAAAACAGTAGAGACTTACCTATTTTGCTCAGTTCTGTTGAAACTTTATCTTGTTCAGTCATAGGCAGATTCTTTTACTGAAACTGTGGAGTGTCCAAAGCACATTTAAAGATGCTTACTAGATTGGATTAGCAGAAAGGTAAATAATATTTCTGCCTGAAGTGATTTCAACTCTTTGTTTTCATTTCTATTTTCCCTCAGATACGGTATGGATCACTGAAATACAGAGTAAAGAAGAGACCCGCTGTATACTTCTAAGTGTATTGCACAGTGCCTGCAAGACAAACTGCTGTATTATAATAACTTGAATTCAGTGTGTCAAGTGATAAAGATCTGTGTATGATTCATATGATGACTATATGAATAGATATGGTAGGACTTGGTTTTATGAACCTAAAGGGTCAGATGAAGTGTTACTCTGCTTTTGTGTAACTGCTTGTTGCTTAGACTTAAATCTGGACAAGTTGTAATATGGATTTCAGCACTTCTTAAATGCAGGTTAAATGAGTAACAGGAAACAGTCTTTTTCCAGAGATACTGAACACAGAAAAATAATTACAACTCCAAATGAATTAGCAGAAGTTGTAAATATTTGGAACTTGTAAAAATTGAACCCAAAGTGTCCCAAAGTTTACATAGAAAGATAGGCATACTTGAAATATTTTTCTGAACTACAGTTCCTGAAAAGGCTTTTGTGTAATTTAAATATGTTCAGTTTAAAGGATGGTCAATGATGGTAGGGAAGGGAGAGGAAAGACAAGGTAGATATGGTACATCTTTAAGATTGTCATATTTTTGCATTGTATTGCCATGCTTAACAAACTTACATAACACTAATAGGTGCAAACTGAGGGTACATTTAGCACTTTATGCAGAACTGTATAGTTTTGCACACTTACTGATTTACAGCTGCACATGTCATTTTAATGACTTCTTAGGTAGGTCAGACTTATCTTTTGAATGCCAGCAAATCTTGTATTTCATGATCTTATTTTAATTTATCCTGATTGCTTACGTACACTTAGGATGCTGTAGATAATTGCTACTAACAATATTATCAGGTGCCTTTCTGTATATTACAAGGCTGTCTGGTTTTTTGTCTGTGTGGGTGGGTTTTGTTTTGTTTTGTTTGTGTCTTTCCTTCTCCTTTACCTAGAGATACGTTACATGATTTAGGTCAGTTTTTGGTTAAAACTGTGGTAAGTAAAACTAGCAGCAGTTCCAATGATAGACCTCAGGGATCTGATCAGCCCATCAGTTGTGTATTAGAAGTCATGCTGACATGAAGTCATATATGATAGATATTCAGGCCCTGGTTTGGTTTTACTTAGCATTGCTTTAAGAATGAATATATGTATATATTAGAACATGTATGTGTGTATATTTCATATATATGTGGAGTCTAATATTGGCTGTGTAGTACTTTTATTACTAAAGTTATTACTAAAATATTTACATACAAATAGCCCTTTCTAAAAGACTAGCTAATTTAGACAGCCATTCTATAACCTAGAGTCCCACAGCATAACTGTTCGCACAGAGATTAATTTTGGAATGTCACTCAAGGCAGACACTTGTCAAAATGACTTTTTGAGGTCCCCTTTGGTTCTACTTTCTGCAGTTCTGAAAATTAGGCTGACATAGTTTTCTGTTTGACTACATTTCTACTGTGGATTCAGGAGAAAACACTCACTTTTCATAGATAGCATTTTATTACTTGGCATGGGGAGAGATGGTGTTAGCTGTTCTTGAAGAGAAAATGATGTGTGACTCTTCTTATCCTTGGATCTTGGACTACAGCGCTTAAGCCTTTCCCCAGGTATGACAGTCATATGCAAGTCTACTGCAGTGTTTTTAAGCATATGCCTACGGCTTGGGTCTGCCACTGTTCTTGTTTATATTACAGCTATAGCAGGTTCACTGTTGGTACACAATGGTGTGTTAATATATACTGGCTTTTGAAGTAGTCTTCTGAGAACTTTGGGCCAGGGTTGGAGTTAACATGGCTAAAAATGCAGCTGCTCTGTATTGGCATTGTGTAACTTGCTGTTGTAGGCATCTGTAAGCCTAGTGCAAAGCCTTGGTCGAATATAACAGTAATGATGGTGCAGTGCTTTTAGCATCTACAAAGAAGCTAAATGCTTTATCAAGAAGTTGTAATGGTCCGTGTCTGATTAAAGGCCAAAGCCTGTATTACTTGAGTCGAAGACGCAGTTTCATACCAGAAGACAGGAAGGCTGCTCTCTGCAAAATGAATATAGTGCAAAAATCCTATCCTCTAGCCAAAACTGCAATTTGTGCAAAACTGCAAGCTTTTATAAAGAGCTGTTGTCTGTGGGGAAGGCAGTGATGAGATGAAGTGGTTTATCACTGGTGTCCCAGGAATGTTTGTGCTTCTCATCTGTTTCCCTGAATGTAGGGAACGGCTGTCTGTGTGTTAAGGGACCTTAGAGGAAATGGAGGCTTTTGTATTGCATCTCACCCCACTCTGAAAATTAGACTGACCTGGGCCTTGTGTGGTATCCCTTAACCCTTACTATCCAGTTGAGTGTCCTCCTTGGGCACGTGTTGCCACGTTTTGCTTTAACTCATCTTGTTTGTGTTATTGGCAAGCATGGCAGTGAAACTGTCATCTTTCTACAAATCAGACTCCTGCATGAATGACCAGGGTAAGCCCTTCTTTCAGGATTACAGTTCCTGTTACAGGTTTGTGTCAGTCCTGTTTCGGGGCTCATGTTCTTCTCACATTTCCAGGACTAGAGATCATTTGAGTATTTTAGGCTCTACCACACTCACGGTCAGAACATTGCTCTGTGTGTCGTTATGTACTTGAGGCTATAACTTCTGGCAAACTTAACTTGCTAATTAAATAGTGACAAAGGTTAAATAAACTCTTTTTTTTTCTGAACTATGCATGGAACTAGGAAAGCTGGCAGTATTACTCATATCATTGCTGTTTGCATATAAATGTACATGTGTTCTCTCAGATACTGTCTTAAGTGATAAAACGTCCGGTGTTTTCCTGGTGGGTTTTTTTTGGTCTAATACCCTACTGTAAAATTCTCTTGATGGCTTGATTTTGTTCTCTGAATTCATCCTGAAACTGGTTCACTATATTATCTTAAGGTTTGGCTTTGTTTATGTTTTCCCTTGTTGTTCGTTTTCAGCTGATGCTTGGCAGGGCGCAATGGCATGATTAACTTTCATCCTAATGATCCTGTATTTCTCTCTGCTTGTTGAATTTAGTTTAGTTTGGTTTTTAAGTATTACACGATCTTTTAAACTTTGTGTATAAGGAATTTTCAGACTTTTTTGCCTTAGCTGCTAAAGTCTAGCTCTTGCCAGTAAACTTCTTGGAAAAATGTTAAACAAAAAATCAAAATTTAACTTAACATTCCTTTTGGTTTTCAAGTGTAAAATGTAGTTCATATCAAATTATGTGATCTTATGAACAGAGCGTTTCCTGAGAAGTAACTGATTGCCACTAACAGGACTGTTAATATAGTGAAAGAAGAACTTAGAGGGCAAAGGTGCTTTAAAAGAGAATGTGTGTGCTTGTTAAAACATATGAAGGTTTTGAGCCTTTCCAAAACACATCTGAACTAGCTCAGATTTCTTAGCAAGAGCCTACTGCACATGGTAAAATACAGATCTTGTGATGATGATTATATCAATGGCCTCAGTTGCAAGTAAGCTTTGGTCAGACTCTGATTACAAGGTAATTGCCAATATTAGCTATGTGATGTTAATTGCTTTGTTACCTGAAAATAACTGAATATTATCCAAGATACTTTTTTGCAAACTAATTATAAAATGGACAGAATATAATTTGGTTAAACAGACTGGTGGAGTAAATGCTAGATGCATTTAGCATGCTGTTCATGACAAAAGATGTGCTTTATTTTTGGTGTGGCTTTTATTAATGGGAAGTTGGTCTTTTAAGTATTTTTCTACAAAAATGTGTATGTGCAAAGGCGATACTTTAACATTTTTCAAGAACTCATATTTTTAAATGCTACAGACCAGAGACTGTCTACATTAAAGTTAGTAGCTTTACAAAAATGCAATGTAAGCTTTAATTTTTATATTGTAATAATAACTTGCTGTCAACTTGTTTACATATTTGTAGGAGGGAAAGCTTCATTATGCATTGACTTATCTTGATACTATCTTTAATAAATGCTGTTTTGAGCAGGATGCAGTGGATATTTTATTACCTGAAATACAATTAACAAAGCAATCACTGTAATCTGTATTCTATTGCTTATTGCAATTATTCCAGTACTGAAAGAACCACTCTGAACTTTGATGAGACTTTGAAATTGTTTGAAGTACAAGTAAGCTGTCATTGAGGTTTTGCTGTGGAGCCTGATGCTGCTTTAGACTTATATGAAAGTTCGTGTGCTAAAGGCAACTTGAAAATGCTGTAGCCTTGCTTATTTTGATTAGATGTTCAATTCAGAGTAAACTTAAAATAAGGTGCTTAGTCTCCCAAGAGTGCATAGCTTCCTGGGGAGCTGCTGGATTTTCTTGGTTTTTTTTTTTTAAATCAAGCTGTTTCTGATGCTAGCCTCTTTTATTGATGTAGCTTTACTGTTGTTTGTGCGTGCCAACAAGCGGATTTTGTTTTGTATTTCCTTGTCAAAAAGAGTTCTTCTGGTATCCCAAAGGAGGAGATGTGTACATGAACTTGGGCCTTCCATTTTTCAAACCTCCCTTCAAGTAAGCTGTTAACACCTCTAGCAAAACCCAAGCAAAAAAACACTGTTACCACATTTTCTGGACTTCCTTTTCTCAAAGGAAAGAATTTCTTGATATGGTTAATTGAGGAGGAAGACTTGAAAACTGCAATTTACTGTGGGGGATAAAAACCTCTCTTTCTGCTGTTTAACGTGATGCTGCGACCTGCTCAGGGAATGATTATCTGGTGGTTATAAAATGTTCAAGACTAAGCAGATGCAGCAATGGTGACAGTTTTTTGGGGCACTTTTTTTTTTTTCTTGAGACCCCAAGTGTTCTGTATTTTCCACAGCAGTGTGGGAAAAGAGACGACTGAACATGAGCGGGAACCTAACAGGTCTCTAAAATCAGTATACTTCAAAAATTATTTTCATACTTTCTGTAGATCTGCCCAGGAACAGAATGGAGCCTGTCTTGTTTATGGTTGCCAAGGTTCAGCGGCAGATTGCTCTGTCTGAATTAGGGTAGGAATCATGAAAGCAGCTGAAGCAGAGACTATAAGGACTTCAGTAAAGCCTAGGATTTCAGTACTGCCTGCTAATGTACAGTGACTACATGGATGAGGAAGCTCAGAATTGATTTAGAAAGTCTTTTATCCACACTGTCACAGTTCCAAGGTAAGCAGCACTTTGACCCTCCCCTAGCTCTTCCTGGGCAACATCCTGTATGTTGTATGGCACTCACTGCTTCCTCAGCTGTGCTGTCCCATCCAGTCTTTCTAGTAATTTTAGTTCTCCTTGGTAAGAATACTAAGAGGAGGTCATCCTAACTTACTGCCTTGAAGGAAAGAATTTCTTGATATGGTTAACTGGGGAGAAGGACTTACACCCCAAACCAAACCAAAAGCCCTGTATAAAGCTAGTGTAATAGTGAAGTTGCATCTGAAAATGTAATGCTAGAAAAAACACATAACCACATGTATTGCAGTCTTGAGGGAATTGCACCAAAAGCTCGCCATGCTTTTGTGAAACCCCTTCCCCCCAGGTCCAGTTAGTTAATCACTATTCTTAATACTAGAATTGCCAACTTCACTGGAGTTTCTCCTGTTGTCCAGAGGAGGTGGAGCACTGAGGTGCTGCTCTGTAAACTGAATGGAAGCCTGAGGGTAACTAGAGTATTTATGGCAGTTGAATTTGGTTTATTGAATCAGCAAGCAGCACTTGATCTGTAGGTGCCCAGTTACCAGACCTGACCAGAGACAGCAGCCTGGGGAGAAGGCCAGAGGGCAAAATGATCTTTGGTAGCAAACTGTAATTATCTAGGCTACTTAATCCTGATGAAAAATCCTGCTTCTCTTAAAGTTGAGGTCATGAAAGGGGGAGAATTGCTCCTATTTCAAAACAGCTCTGGGGCAGCTGCTGAGCTGTTCTGTCCTTCACAGGGGAGTCTCCTGTAGCTCCGCTTAGAGTGCCTTTTTGCTGGAGAGGAGATCTGGCCATATCCCTTTGCATCCTACCTTGAGCAACGCGGTAGCCTTTCCTTCCTGGAGTAGTGGTGAAGACTGTTCCCCACCTGCTGATGCTCTCCACTGTGCTGAGCACATACAGGCAGTGATCATTCCGGATCGCTTTTTAACTAATCGAGTTAGCTAAATCGCGAAGGGGCTGCCTTGATACTTGTGCCTAGAGAGCAGCTGCTCTGTGGAAGTGCCTTCTTTAAGCAGGTCCCTGCCCTCAGCTCGGGACGTTGCCGCTCAGCGGCGGGCTCTTTGGGGCGCAGACCCCACAGGTGAGGTGAAGGCAGGCGGCGGGGCCGGCGGGCGGGGCGGGGCGAGCTCAGCGCGGCGGCGGGCGGGCCATGGCGGTGGGGCTGGAGGAGGCCTTCGGGGCGGCGGGCGAGTTCGGCGGCGGGCAGCGGCGCCTCACCGCCTTCCTGGTGCTGCTGCAGGTGAGGCGGCAGCGGCGGGGGGCGCCGAGGGCCGGAGCCGGCCGGGGCGGGGCGCGCCCGCCGCTCCCCGTGCGTGCCGAGCCGCTCCTAGCGGCGTTCCCGCTCTTCCGTGTTTGCTGGGTTTTGTTAAGTTTGTTCGGGGTTGGTTTGGTTTCTCTGTGGCTCCCCGAGCAGCAGCAGCAGCATCTTGCGGAGGGCGGGCAGCGCGGCGGCGGGACGGGCGGAGGAAGAGCGGGGCCGCCGCGTGTGTCAAGGCGCGGGGTGCTGCGGTGCGCATCTCCCGCCTTCGCCAGGATGCCCGTGCCCGTTCGGGACCAGCTTCCTGACCCGCCCAGCGGCGGGATGGGGTGCGAGGCGCTGGCCGCGCCGCCGGAGCTGTGCAGCGGGCTCGGGTGGCCTGGGGAGAGTGGCGAAGTGACCCTCTTCTGGCATTTCTGCGGCAAACAGCCTGGTGGACTCCCCCCCCCCCCCCCTCCCCCCCCCTCCGGCTTGTGGGCGTTTCAGAAAGGATTTGGTGGGGTTTGCTCCTTTTGCGAGTAGCTTTTCAACCCCCTTTCTTGCCGGAGTGCTGTCTTACATCTCAGCTTGGCAGAGTTTGTGATTCTTTCCTTGTTTCTATGCCCATCATTTTCGCTTCCTCACTTCAAGAGAGACTTTTAAGTGTCTGCGAAGTGGAAGGAAATGAAGTCTGACCGCGGCAACTGTGGGTTTGGGTTGTTTTTTTCCTTTTGCATCTCTTGTGACACGTGGTGTTCAGGGCCTGCCTTTAAACAGTGTCCACACCCGGTGTTAAAACACTTTCACTTGCTTAGTTCCTTCCTAACAGCTTCCTCCTGCATTCTTAACCAGACTGCTGTTGTGAGGGAGGGAGATGGTGTTGCATGCTGTAAGTTGTTTCTGGAGGAGTGTCCAAAGTAAGCACAGGATAAAATGCCAAATTAAACCAAGGTCCAACCAAATGCACCATGCAAAGCCTTGTGGCCCAGTGTAGGGAGCCATTCAAGATTCAAAACTTTTCTGTCAATGGTAACATGCTGAAAGTCACCAATATGTGGATATGCTTGAGGTTAGTTTTATTTTACCTTAAGCAAAAAAATAAAATGAGATGTAAAATAAAACCAGATGTGAAATGTGGAAGACATTCAGACCACCTTGACACCCATATTAATGAATTAATATTCTCATAAGGTTTTCTTTATGAAAATGGTTTTTATTCCTGCATATTTTGTTTTTTTTATGATGACCAGGTTAAGTTTCCAGTCTCTGCGATGGAAAGAACAAACACTTTTAGAAATATAACCTTAGATTTCTTGTATAGGTTTGGTTTTTGTTTTATTGTATTTTTTCTTTAATAATAATCCTGATCTAACTGTTAGATCTCAAGATCTCAGCTATGAAACTATGATGAAGTTCTTAATACCTTCCTTTCCTGTGCCTGGCTGGAAAACTGCAAAAACAAATGAACAGCTTTGCCATAGGAAGGAGAGCATCAAGATGAAGTCTTCAATGGAAGTGTACCAGTATCTCTGGAGTGGTACCCGCTGCTCGCAGCAGCTTCAGTGACCACATCTGGGAATTTAAGTACAGTAGACTGACTGCATTTTCTTTGTGGTGCTGGGTAAAGGGAAATTGTTAATTTTCAGTTTAATGAAAAGCGTACAGTATTCTATAAGGTCTCTTGGGATTGCTTGGGGTAAATGATTATGCCTTATTTTAAGGTATATGTGGCTTGTCAATCGATGCTTATTGTGCTTGTGGGAGCTGTGCCTAAGTATCATATAGACCAAGAAGGAATTCCAGTGAAGAGAGCTGAGCTTGCCAAGCGTATCCACTTTGTGGACAACTTCACCTCTATAGTAACTGAGGCAAGTAATTCCATGCATCTAACCATTTCTTCTTGGGATTTGTGTCACGGGTGCAGGACGTGCTGCTTGTAAAAGCTGAGCAGGGCTTAGTGTAATATTTTGCTTATGCTGTTAAGAATTATTGGAACCCACCCCTCTGGCTCTTTTATTCCATCATTACTTATATACTTTGAGATTTAAAAATAAAGTATTAGATTAGCTTTCCTAGCATAAATCTATTAGCTAATAATTTATATTAAACTTTATATTATTTATTTTGTTTTCAGTTTTCTTTCATTACTAATGATCAAAGACATCACTAAAGAAGAATGATTATTTAACTACAGTTTACAGCTCTGGAGTTTAGGATGAGTTCCTCCCAGTGCCTGTTTTTTACTAGGCAAAGGTTCAATTTGGTGTGTTTCCACAATCTGCTGTGGATATAACTTTACCAGGTTGTATTAGTTTCCCACAGGAGATATATCTTAAAGATTAAAACTTGTATGAAAGTGAAACTCATGTACCACAGGTCTGGGTATTTTGATGTGTGGTGAAAGCAGGAGATGGAACAGATTGAAGTTGGCTGAGTGGGACAGAAGCTTGACCCTTTATCCTCACGCCTTATGAATTCCACGAGGGAGTCTGCATTTGTGTTTCGCTAGTCCCTGGGCTATAATCACTCAGGCAAGCAGGAGTGACCTAAGCATCACTGCCAGTGCCAGAAAAAAGACTGTGTGGGTGGCTTGGCTTGTAGCATGAACTGTCAGAGTCCTGCTGCTTGAATTCTTGGAGCGGTTGTCAGTAAACTTGGATAAGACAGGTTAGCACTTAATGTAGCTGGTGCCAGATTCTCGCTTCCTTCCCATTATCCCAAATGTGAGTGTATAATGTTTTTCTTGGAAAAATGTAGTGACCTGACATAAGGAGTGATGCAATATTGGATCATATCCCCTGTCAGAAACAGCCTGTTTTCCAAGAACACCCCTCAGTTTCAGACTCTCAGTAAGATGTGTGATACAAGGTAGTGCTTAATTTATAATCAGAAATCAGCAAATTTTAACTATGTTTTTAAAGTCACTGTCCCCATTTCCAAAATGCAGTCATTCTCAAGAGTTGTCAAAACAAGTTTATGTTGCCCTTAATTTCCATAACTTCAGTTTTTAAAAATATATTGCTAAATAGTCTTTTCATGGAGTCTTTAGATGCTGGCCAATGTTTTGCTGTGTGCTGGTGGTCTAGTAATCAAATTCCATGTGGATTTAAAGAGCTGAGAGGATGCCTGTTTTGGTGATAGCAAAATTGGCAACATTTTTGTTGGCGGGCTACAGTTAATTTTGACAAATACTTAACAAGTTCCTTTTGTGCAAATAAAGTAGATAGACACATGCTTTTAAAAGTTATTCTTCACAGATTGTTATACCAGACTTGCTAAAATCTGAGCATCTTCTAGCAACAGGCTAAGCAGCACAAATAACAGTTTACAAAAGCAATCTTTTCTCTTGTTCTGTGTTGAGAGAGGAAGCTGCTTTTGCAAAGTTTATTTCCCTTATTTTGGTGATGGAGCTTAATCTGTAAGTATTTTCAGTTCTGTTCTGGTTTGGCAGGGGCACTGTTCTGCTCTGGAGCTCAACAATGCTTCCATTCTGCTTCAAAAACTAATTGCTGTAATTAATTTTGGCATAACTAAGACTTCACAAATAACAGCTTGGGCTTGGTGTGTGGAAAATTCAGTTGTTAAAATTACTTCTTGATCTGGCATCAGCCCTTGCTTTATCAGGTGATGATGCTTAGGAAGGCCTGTCCAGGAATGCCTTACATTTGCTGTAGAAATAGTCAGTTACTTGTGAGAAGTTGATTTTTGCAGCCATATCCAGGAGCATGAAGTTGTTTGTTTCTTTGTATCAGCCTGAAACACTTCACAGACAAGAAATTGGCGTGCTGTGGAGTGCTAGCATGGAGAAGAAGGACTTGGCCCGCAGTGCTCTGTGCCTTGGAGAGCACATGCTGTGATATTTTTATACTTGGAGTTTCCTGAGGACTTGTGCCCAGAAATATTTAATTACTAAAGTCTCCTCAGAAAGTTAAGAGACTAAGTTCTGGGGCTACATCTTTATCCAGAGAGACAGGGTAGAATCTACTACTGGGTGGGGTATAGTAGAAACCATCTGCATATGTTGCTGCACCGGAGTTTTACCACCACAGGGTATCCAGAAGTTCCCCAATACTCTGAAGTGCTGGGACACCGGGTACATCGGACTAAAGAAGGCGTCCTGTAAATGTGTTAAATCTGTTCCCGCTACCAATGTCTTGCAGGTTGCTGGATGGGTAGAGCACAGGTAGTGGGTGGGTTGCTGGGTGGATGGAACCATGTCTTCTCTGTACTTTGCAATTATGTGAGTTCCAATTGAGTAAAAGTATATGTTTTGTGAGGTTGCCATAAGTAAATTTTCCAGTAAACACACTAGGAATTATTTGTAATACTTAGTGATTAAATACTGGTTTGGCTAACGTTTTGCATTAAATAGTTAAATTCTTTTCCTGGAAAATCACTTAGGATTTTCTGATTTCCATTCTTTCCCAAGTTCATGATGTCAGGAATGTTTGTAGTCTCAAAAGTGCATTTCTGAGTGTTGATTCTCCTTGTTTGTAGTGTAGGGGCTGCACAAGCTGCCTCTATGCCTTGCCCCATCAGGAATCACTGCAAGTTTCATTCCAACTGTCAGTTCATTTTCTTCTCACAGTTTTTAATTATGCTGCATAGGTTTAGCTTTTGGATGAGGTAAAAGCACATTTTATAGAGAAACCCATCATTTGTTTCTAACTTCTGTTTGATTGCCAATGCATGTGCACAGTAAGATACTAACATACCAACGAGTAGTTGCTAACTACAAAACAAGGGCATCTTTCCATAATCCCTTCCTGCTTTTCTTCAACAGTTCAACATGTGTATGATGAGGAAGGGCACCAGGGATTACTCATGGTTCAGGAAGCAGAGCTGCGCAGCATTAACTCTCTAAGTACTGAAGTAGTGAACATGCATTTTCCTTGTTAATGAATAATTTTTATTACCTGCTTACTGAAATAGTTAAGCTTGTGCAACGTAGAAATGGCTAACCTAGTACCAGTTTTGGCTTCCCTTGTTTTAATAACTCAAAATAGGTTGCCTTGCCAAAGCTTGGGAATTGGGGTACGACTAATTACACTTATTAAGTTGAAAGTTTATATTGTGCTGAAATTTCTTGGGGAAAGTAGAAAGATGCGAGAGTCTATTAGGGAAAAATCCAGGACTACTGTTGGCTTACTTTGAACAAAATTTGAATTGGGTATAAAGCAAGTGGGAAATGGCAAGAGAAGAATTTTAGTAGTTTTTGGTAGGGTTTTTTTGTCTGTTTGAGGAAGTCAACACCTTGGTGTTGATACTTTCAACAATAAGGACTTTTTTTTCCTTTTTTTGACAGTGGTACCTAATCGAACAAGAAGCCTACAAAGTAAGCCTTGCATCATCCCTATTTTTTGCTGGATTGCTTATTGGAAATGTCACGTTTGGCCCCTTGTCAGACAAACTGGGCAGGAAACCAGTGTATATCTCAGGTGAGACTGTTAAAAGGCTTTTCTTAAGCATTTTGTATGGATAACATCATCTCGTTCTTTGCTGCCTGTGAGCCACTCTACCTGAAGGCTACCCATGTGTCACCTGCTCTCTCAGTGATAGAGTCAATGATCTGTAGCAGCTTTTCACTTAGAGCAGCACTAAAATTGGTTTCTATGACTGTGCTAAGTAGCATAGCGGTCACTAGAATATCAGTGGGAGATGTAATGTGGTTTTGCTATGCCTGTCACTTTTGGAGCACCATATTCCACACACTGCCTAGACATATTGTTCTCAATAAAAATTAGCTTTTGTTTGGAGGGGGTGGAAGAGAATTAATACCTGAATACTGAACATCTTTAGAGTGTGTTACTCATATCCTGGGTTCTGTTTCCCAGCTGTGTTTGCAGCTGGAAGGGTGTTTTTGTTTAATGGTAACATCATCTCAAGAGAACATCATCTTTGGCATGGCAGACCTCAAGTGTGCGACTTGAAAATGATTGTAATTTTCATATGGTATGATTTCAGGAAGTCAAATGTGAGAGATGAGAGACAAGAGTGCTGTAGACTACTCATTACAGTCAGTAACTGACTGTGGTCCCTGCCTTTCTTTTGAGTTCAAGCTGTGCAGCAGAAGTACTAATTACTAATTTTATTCTCTCTCTACAGGTCTATTTTTGGATGTCATTTTTGGATATGTCACAGCATTAGCTCCGAGTTATGACATATTTGCAGTTTCACGTTTTTTTGTTGGAATTGTGAATGGTGGAATGGCTCTCGTGTCTTTTGTCCTAACACAAGAATATGTAGGAAAATCATTTTGGTCATTTACAGGTGGGATTTGGGAATATTTAATCTTTTTATTACTGTGCGATGTATTGTTCTATCAATACCTTATATTTTATATTTGTACCAAGGTTGTCAGGTTGTAGCTAGTCAGGCAAGTGTGGTGAGGTTGATCCAAGCTCTTCTTTGTGTGGGAAAGGTACACCGCCTAGAGAAGTGGGATTGAGTTTGATAAATGGCAAAATGGAGGGTTTTAAAAATCAGTACATTGAGTCCTAAAATTTCTCAATTTCTACAGCACATTATATAAAAAAAAAGAATATATGCTTTGGCAGATTCTGCCACCTTCTGAACAATGCTGTATGGTATCTTGGGGAAGGTATTATTCAAAGTGTTCTTCGAAGCTTCCCGGGACCATGAAATGACTTAGTGCCTGGGTAGTGGTTTTTCCACTGCTGAATGTGCTGACCATCCAGTGTTTTTAAATCTCCTTTTTCATATGCCACTGCCAAGACTTAAATAAAATGTAACGCTTCCACATCAGAGTGCTGTAAAGCTGGAGTAGCTCAGAGTGTAACGCCCTTTTGGCTAGTACAACATGGGGAAAAACATGGTCCAAATGCTGACTGGCTGTGTCTGTGAGCATGTTTCTTTCTCTCTCATTTCTTCAGTTGCCTCATGCTACTATTTTTCTTATTTCTTCTGTGGACTCCTGGGGAGTTATGAGACAGTCGTGGTTCACTCATAGCTTCCCACTTAAAAGTACTGAATTTTCTTCTCCTGGGTTTACTTTTTTGACTCATGCCCTCTATCTCCTCTGCCCCTCATTCTCCCTTGTCCTGTTGTTTCTCTCTGCTCTTGCCATCCTTTCTCCCTGCAGGGCCAGCATCCTGATGGACCAAAACCACAGTCCTGCTGCTTATCACTCTAGGTGTTTTATTCTAGTTTTGCTCAGCTGTTGAGAAGGTGGGGCTGAACAACTGCTGAGGGGCTGAACGAGGGGGAGGTGCTGCGTGAGCTCAGCTGTGTTAAAGAAGCTCTCCTAGGTGTTGGCTGTGAGCTAGGCTTTGTGGGTCATAGCCAAGAGTTTCTGGGTTAGTACAAGTTCTCTTGTTAGTCTGCAGAGGGTTTGTTTTTAGGCTTCTGAAGTTCAAGTTGAGCCTGTATTTTTAATACATTTATTTATGCTTGTTCTTCAGAATTCTGCTGCAATAAACCTCTGGCTTGCAGCTGGTTTTGTGCTGAACTGTCCTTGAACTTTTATAACTTCCAATTTCTGTGCCAGCTTGCTACCTCTATTGAGGATTAACTTAATAGGCCAAAATAGATCATTCACTTGCAACACTTTCTTTCCTCTCCTCAGGTTTTCTCTTTAGTCTGTAGGTTTCTATTGTCCCTTGCTCTCTCCTATGTACCACCCTATATTTTTGAAAGGGGATCTCCCCATACATTATATGAAGTTATTCTTCATTGGGATTGCACATTATACTTAATTATAACACATGGGCTAGGGTTCTTTTGTTTGGTTGGTTGTTTTTGTTTTGTTTTCTTTTGCCGATGGTTTCTGTAGTCACCATTTTGGTCTTGTATTTTCAGGTTCATGAACTAATTTGACATTTGCAGTTGGCATTGCGGTTTATGCTTTGCTGGGTTACTGTGTAAGAGAATGGCGTTACCTTGCCTTGGTATCGAATACCCCAGGGGTCATCTTCCTTCTTCTTTCTTTGTAAGTGGTTCATGTGAATTATAATGGTAAGAAAAAATATGCAGCAATTTAACAGTTACTTTTTCTTGTCATTGTTCAAGGGAGTGGTGGATGACACTTTTCTGTATGTCTTTGTGAAGCAAGCAAGAGCAAAATCATATTGAGGAGGAAGAAGTGGTTTTAAATGAAGCAGGTCAGGGTTACTCAGAAGACAGGCTTTTGTTTCTGCATGCTGTTACAGTTGTGGTGGCCAGTGTTGCAAAAAGCAGCTGTATGCCAGCTGTCCAATAAAACTTGATTACAAATCTGCTTGGGGAAGGGAAGGCCTGCCAGAGGCTGTGAGCTGGAGCATCAGCCAGGAACACTGCCTTCTGCCAAGGAAGGGTTTCAGCGCTTGAGAAGTTTTGGAAGTGATCCTAGAGGGATTTTAGAGTTTCTTTTCATGAGACATATGCATGCAAAGGGAATAAATGAGAGCACTTGGAATTGCCTTTTTAGCATGATATGGTATGTATCTGCTTGCTTTTGAGGTCCCTTGTGTGTGTTCCCAGCACCGTTGTGCTTAGGTGCTCCTATTCAGAATTCCTAAATTGGCATGAGCATAAAAACAATTATGAAATGCATCAGTGTTTAAGGAATTGCAAATGCTTAGCTTTGTCTTGGCTGTGTTCTTACAAAATATTCTTCTAGCATATCAAGTAATATAACTTGTATGCTTCTGATACTAGTGAAAGCTGTAGAAGAAATTAAAGTATTAGTTTAGTAGGTTGCCTACACATTAATACAGGGAATGTCTAGCACACAGCACAGAAAAAAACTCTTCATATTTTTATTTCATTTTTAAAAATTTAAATTCATTTTTAGATACATCTGATCTTGAAATAAGTGATGTTAAAGAATACACAAAAAAAGCACCACCCCCCTGCTTCCTGTAGTCAAGGAAAACAAAGCCTTTGGGCTGAGGAAGGAAGTTCTTCATAATGTATTTTCCCTTATGGTATTCTGTTTCTGATGAAGTAGAATTACTTCTCCCAAATACTAAAAACATTGGGATCCTCCAAAGTATTGAAAGCTTAGTTTGGATGTAGGATGTATATTTGTTAAGAGTACCAGAGAAACTGAAGGTTCACTTAAAAATAATCCATTATTTTTGTTACGACTCATAAAAGTAGCAGCACACTCTCTGGCCTAAAAACCAAACCAGAACAAACAACCCAAAACAAATCGGGAATCGTAATCTGAAGTTGTGGTAAGTAAGGATATTCTGATTATACTCGGGAAAAAGAGATTTACAACTTAATGTGGGCACCAGTGAGGTGGTACTTGAGCCTGGCAAGTAATTTCCCTGTAAGATTTCTTTCTTCACTCCAACTTGGAGCCTTCCCATAATGGAGAAGCTCGAAATATACTTCATGAAAACAAAGTTTTGCCTGGGCTGCTCAGACAGTTAGGTTGCAGGATATTTCCTGGATAATGCTAGTGTAGCATTTCCTAAGAAGTCACTTCAGCAGAAGTCAAGATTTACATTTAAACTCCTCTAGCATGACTGAGTGCTTTGTGAAGCATCTCCAACAATCCTTGTCTAAGATGACTGTATAATTATCAAGTATGTGGAATTTGATAGGCAAAACAATGTCAGTGGAATGATTTCTAAGAATTTTGTATGGCTACTTTAAACATTGATTTGAAAAGTGTAAAGACTGACTTCAGTGAGTGCTGTGTTAATAGGAATTAACTTATCATTGTTGATTTTCTCTTCTTTCTTGTTAGTATGCTCCCAGAATCACCACGATGGTTGTATTCCCAAGGGAAAATGGAAGAAGCTGAAGATGTATTGCAATATATTGCCCTTGGTAATGGAAAAGAGAGATTAAATCTAAAATTAAAACCAAATGCAGGAACTTTGAGAAAGGATGTATCAGCACCTGGTATCCTAAACTTAGTAAAACACCCCATCCTTTGGTGGCGAACTGTCATACTGATGTACATCTGGTATGTAGTAACAAGGTACTGAGGCTGTGACTGAGTCAGGCACAAGGAAGTGATTATAATTTTTCGTTCTTTTCAAAATCCTGTCCTCAAAACTAAATCAGATTTGTCAGTTGGTGGCAGACAATAATAATCTAAAATGATGTATTGTAAAGTTGATGTTTCATTATTATAGCTGTTGTGTTTTATTTTCAGTGTTACTTAGAAACTGCTTCAAAACCTCCTAAGGAGTAATCTGATGAGAACATAATATTTACATAGAGTGAATTGAGAAGCTGAAGCAGGAGTTACTGAGAGAATGTGGATTTGAACCATTCCTTAGTAAGAAAAAGACTATGTGGGTTAGACAACAGTAGAGATCTGCAGCAAGAATAAGCATTAATAGCCTGAAAGCCCATTACAGAGGTTCAGTGGAGGAAAACTGGAGGCAAATAAAATACAGATGGCATAGATTTATATTAGGTACTGTCTTGAAAAGCCAGTGTTACTTTCTGTGGGGTGGGGATGTGCAGGCATAGTTCTTTCCAAGGAAAATACAATAGGTTTGTTGGGGAAGCCTTTCCAAGAGAAAGATACTTGGTGTTAATCAATGGTTGCAAAGGAGTCCTAGGAAAGAAAACTGTATGTACAACAGTTAAGCATCAGCTGCTTACAGTTACTAGCTTTGCTGAATAACCTAGGGGAAAAAAGGCAAGCTAATAGAAAATTCTGTGCTGTGCATATGGATGCATGCTTTTTTTTTCTTTCAAGAAGTTGCTTTTTTTAACTGAACAGCAATTATTCTCTTTGCCATGTTTCCCTTGTGGGGGGAACTAAGAGCTCTCTTCCTAGCAGGTAACTCAATGTAGCTAATCCATAACTCTGCATGATTTCCCTTTTAAATACTTTCTTAGTCCTAAAGTCAACTTATATTAGTAGTGTAACTTCTGTGGGGTTTTTTTAGGTATGTCTGCAGCTTTGTGTACTATGGACTAACTTTAAATGCTGGTGAATTAAGAGGAAATCTGTATTTAAATGTGGCTCTTTCTGGTCTTGTGGAAGTTCCAGCGTTTCCTCTCTGCATGTTTTTTATTGAGAAATCCTGGTAAGAAAAGCTTATTTCCTAGTTTTCTGCATATATTTGTTTATAGCTTAGAACAATGTGAACCTTTTTCTGAGGAAGAAACTTCCCTGGTTTTCTAAGCAGTGTTGATTTTTTTCTTTTTTATTTATTTATTTATTTTATTTACTCTGCTGCAGGGTTTCTGCAGTTGATACAGAAATGGGACTCTGATTTTTCTACCTCTTCTCTTTTTTTTAATTTTGTTCATCTTTGAAAAGCTCATCTCTTGATTAATTCAAATGATTAATGTTCTTAAAAAAGGCTTGGTCTTTATGGAAAAAAAAATGAGTAGCCTAGTTATTTCAGTATCTATAGCTTAGATAGATCTCTTACATATTTTATTCAGAATGACTTGTTTTTGTACTGCCTACCACCTGCAGTTGAAAGCAGTTTTCAGCATTGGTCATTTTTACTTAAACTTCTCAAAGAGAACTTTGAAGTGAGAGCCATTCAGTTTTTGTTAAGGTATGAATGATCGAAAATAACTTTGTTATTTTCATACATTTCAGTGCTATTTGGAGGCCATCCTTCATGTGGGTAGTTATTTCTAAAGGCCAAAAGGTCTGGCAATCCAGAGCTATTCAGGGTTTTATGTAACCTTCAGTTTGAGTATCTTTGTAATTGGTCTCACTGAGATCAGTGGCAAAAATCCTGTTTTCTTCAGTCAGGTGAGGATGTCACCTTTTCAGGTTTTTTGGGCAGTAAAAATCTGTTATCTTTGTGAAGCTAAAAAGCAAAACAACCAGCCAACCTTCACCTCTAGCCCAAGAAGCCTGAGTCAAGGACACGCATTTAAACCACAAACTGCCCAAGTCCTTTTCTATGTCTTTTATTTCCATTGTAATTTGTCAAATTAATTGTAAAATGAAAGCTTTTGGTTTCCTGAAATAAGGATGCGTGTAGTTTTAGGTGCTTAATGCAAAACAATGTGACAAGCCAGCTGCACTGTTTTCATTCAGTTTTTCCTTAAAGTATATCTTTTTTGTTGCAAAAAAGTATTTAGAAATATTATTGTTTGTTATAGATAAGATGTGGTTCTGCTACTGTAGGGCAGTAGTTAGAAATAGCTGTGAGACTTCATAGAATAACAAGCATTTATACTATTTCTACATGCCTGCGAACTGTTACTGTGAATCTCTCTGTTTGTGATCCTCTGCAAATACTGATGAAATAAATTGTAATATGGCAGATGTGGAGATGGACTGGTGGTTTTCCATCCCATTGTTGTCTTTTAAAGCAGTAGGCAGTAGAAATAACCTTTGCTTATTTCTATGTGTATGCTAGATAGAAATGCATAAAAAACAGCTTTACTGTTTGTCATGACTGTATACATTTATGCAAAGTTGTAAAAGAGAAACACATATTAGGAAGCATTAGAATTGCATTTTCTTGACCAACATGAAATTTGATCTTTGTGTGTATGCACTGTAGTACCCTTTTGGTGACAGGGTCCATTGCCTTGCTCATATAGAGAAGAAAAGAAGATGGAGCTCTTGTTGCTGAAGTAGATGGGTTCTTCTCAAGGCTACATATTCAATAGCTTGAAAAATCAGAGCTTTGCTAGAAATCGGAAAAATTTTGTGGGAGGACTTCAGTACCAGAACTAGGAAAATAATGCAAAATTTGAAGCACTTACCAAGTTGCAATAGGTTTAGTTGGTATCTTGCAGACAAATTAAAAGTATACTGAAGGACTTTGTTTCCATCTTTATCTGGATGCTCTTTTGCTTCTAGGTCTGGAAGACGTAAGACTATGACATGTTTTCTGATATTTGCAGGATTTGCCTGTATATTTACCATGTTTGTACCAACAAATGTAGGTAAGTGTGTAATGCTGCTAAAGTAGATGTTTGTTAATTTAGATAAAAGCTAACAAAACAAATTAATGAGTATTTTGTGACCAAATATATGAGGGCCTAAATATCTATCCATTTATACCTCTTTCTTCTTCTGGGGTTAGTCAGGAAGGTCTTGTCTATATTGCTTTTAACTTGTTGCAGGCATAATTTGATCCTGTTAATTGACTAAGTTTGTCTGACTGCAAGCCCTTGGCTCTTTGAAGGTTTTGTCTCAAATATTGTCACTGCCTTCATTTATCACTATTAAGCAGCTTACCTTAAAATACTGGATTTAATAGCCAGACTGCAGTGCAGTGTAATGTTAGTTTGACCGGATCTTGATGATGTGGGATGCTGAGCTTAATTTTAATTTTGTTTTGGTGGCTTGTAATATTTATAGAAATAGGAATGGAGGTTTTCCTGCATTAGAAGGTTATTTCATCATTACAAAACCCAAACAACTAGCAAGCTTTAAAAAAATAATTGGGCATTTGAAAATTAGAAATGGAAGGCTTGCAACATGGAAGCCATGGGGATGGCAAGAAGCTTGCTGTCTTTCTCAGTCTCATGATGCGTATTGCTGCGCTATGCAGTTGTGAGGACACATCATGGTAACATGGAGTATCATCAAGTATATTTCTCATCTCAAAATACATTTTTTTTTTTAACAATGTCAGACACATGTTCGGTTTTGTATTTTCACTTTCCATTTCAAGTACAGTTTTTGTTTACTAATACTTAGGTACTGAAAACTCATTCTATATGACACTAACAGAAGTGGTTTCTTGTATGTTTTTTAATACCGCATCAGTAGAAATTCTTTAACCTTAAAAGTGTTTTGACTGAGAAGCACCAGTGATGTGATTACAAGGCAGCCTTCTGTAGGTTGTGTTTATCCCTAACAGTTGTAAATGCTGTCTGGCATCCAGTTCAAACTGATCTTAGAAAAACCTCAAGAAGAAAAACAGAGAGAGATAAAAAATGCCATAATCCTGTTTGCCATGCTTGTATTAATTCAAGTCCTCGGATGTTTTGCTGCTCCTTTTATTGAGAGTTTTTTTTCCTTTGTTCCAAAAAGTTTGCTCTTTGGGCTTCTTTTTACGTGTTTTAAAACAAAAGCAGTAGTGACTAAGTCAGGATAGGATAATAATTCCTGAAGAGTTGCTAAATTTCAGGAAATCTGTCTTTTCCAGTTGACTTAACTTTAACCCCATTAAAATGTCTTACTTTCTGCTGTGGTATGAGTAAAGCTGGTTCGTGGCTCAGAGTGATCTGTCTGTTAAGTAGACAGAAATTTGGCTCCAAGCATGATGATGATGGGTAAGGATTGTTGCATCTCTAGTCTGATGCTCCTATCAGTAAGGAGAACATTTCTTATGTTTGTCTAAGTCTGCATTCTGCTGAGCAATAAGATCCTTGATTTTATTACAAGGGATTTAAGATTTTAATGAGAGATTGGGCATTTGCCTCTCATGTCTGTAACCTTCACTTGATTTGAGAATCTGCTAAAAATAATTTTCCCTGTGGAAGAAACCAAGAACATTGTTATTAAAGATCTGTACTGAGGTTGAGACTAAAAATCTCTTCAGTGGTTAAGTAAAACTGATATATCCTCAGTTCCCTCTTACCTTATCACTTAGAACTCATCAGTTAATTTGTGTATAAGATTGGAAGAGAGTGAGGGAGAGTGGCAGTGGAGAGGGAATGGAATTGTAATACTCTTTTTTAAAAGTTGCTGTAAAGCATGAAGACATTGCTTTTTGTGCCTGCATTATGCTATAGCAAGAAAAGGAGACTTCTAGCCGAGGGGTACCTAGATTTTAACTTTCATTTAGATTTATCTTCTTATGCTGAAAACATAACAAATTTTTGTGACTTTCATTGATACACTTTTCACTGAAGAAGGAAAGAAAATTTGCAATTCTTTAACAAGAGCTGAGGCAAAATTGAGTTAATGTCGGGTATTTCCTTTTGCATTGAGCGCGACCCTTTCTTGGTGGATATTTTTTCTGAAGTAAATGTAAAGACTTCCTTAGTTTTAGAAGTACTGCTTAAGTTACTTAAAAGAACTTTTACTCATGAAGATGACAGCCAGAGGGTGAATCTACATAATGGCACTGCAAATGAGACTAGTAATGACATAACTCTTATTCCATAAGGTCTTAAACATCAGCATCTTTGTGACTGTTTGTTTTCTCTGCAAGAATTGCAAAAAATATGTTCCAAGGCTCTGAGGAAAATGTAATGTCAATGTCTGGGCTTACCCAGGGAAGCTGATGTGCAGAGGCTTAACACAGATACTAATCCTGCAATAATTCCCCGTGTGGGCAGCCTTCAGCCTCCCCTGAGGGAGGGAACCTGGAGAAGACTGCATTTGAAATTTGCTCCCGAGTTTGAGTGCTAATTTCTCTGTCTAGACAGACTCTTTCTTCTGTTTTGATAGTAAGACCAAAACTTCCCAAGTGCACTAGTGCTACACTTCTAATACATAGATGTGCAGTGTTTAATTTAAGTCTCCTTGGGAGAAAACCAGCATGTTTTAAAACACGTTTGAGAATTACAAATCTCTTAATCATTTCATCTTTGGTTGGTGGAAGAAAAGGGATGTCCCAGCTTTCTGACAGCACCCAGTGAGGGTCTGAGGACTGGGTTCACACCTCTCCATCTTGTGATTGTATGCAGCATTCCACTGAGCAAAAGGAGAACTTGGATGAAAATGTTGTATCTGTTTTGCTTGAATTATAGAAATAACTGCAGAAATCCATCACACTTAAAGACATTAAATAAAGTTTCTGGATTTCACCTTCTGTACAAATGAATTTCTGCTTTGGTTGAAATAGAATCTGACTTGATCTGATGAACAGAAGGGCAAAAATTAAAAGTCAGTTGAGAAGCAATCATATTTTCCATTACTTAATCAACATAATTTGATCCAAATGAAAACATGCTGAACTTGGTGCTGAGGAAGAGAACCTGAAATGCAGCTAATCAGAGCATTCATTCTTTCTTATGATTAAAAATATAAATTATCTTTCTTTTTTATTAAAATGGATGATGCAAACACAATCAAATCAGGATAATGAAAGACAGATTTCTTTTGGCCTTTAAATGACGCACACTTAAGTGTAGCCAATGTAGCTCTGTCTATTAGAAAACTGGGTTGCATTAGCACTTGTTCTTTCCAACAGCAACAATGCTGTTGCATTTTAAGTCCCAAAAGGATATGAATCAAGTTTTACAGTTTTAGTCGAATAAATTAGTTAAGGAGGCAATGATGCCTGTTTGTACTAGTCAAAAGATGCTGTTACCTGGTAAGGTATTCTGTCTGCAGAGCTGGAAGTCTTAGTCCTTCCATTTAGAGCTGTGATATTTTTATACTTCCCCCACCAAAATGGGTCCAGTTTTCTTGGTGCTAAATATAATTTTATTAGCAGTTCTGATTCTAGCTCTTAAAATGGTTAGGAAGAACAGAAATACTGCTTTTCAACGTAGTTAAAAAAAAAAAAAAGTTAAGAAACCAGAATATTTATGCTTGTTCTGTTTTTTGTTTTTCCTGAAAGGTCTGCTCTTCAGTCCTACTTTGTTAGCTTTGTGTGGAAAAATGATGGTCAGTGCTGCTTTCAACATCTTGTATATTTATACGTCTGAACTGTACCCAACAGTATTGAGGTAATTACCAGAGCTTCTAGGTAAATGGAAATACTTTTCATGCACGGTGATACTGACTACTGGTGTGCTTTAATATTTTTCTATAATGACTTTTACCTGAAATATCTATATGAATTCTTTCTGTAATTAAGGCAGCTTGACAGGGCTTGAAAGGGTTTTCTGTATCAGTCACACGTTTTGTACCAGTGCAGTTTCCTCGGCTGTTTGTGGCACCTGCCTTTAGCTTTGAATCTGGAACAAAAAAAAGGAAAACCAGCTTCTTATACTGCAGTGCTTATACTATTGATTTTGGGGGATAAAATCACAGGATGCAGAACCAAACATAATTATGTGATGGAAGTATATGCTGACTTAAGCATAAACATAGACTATGCAGTAAGGACTATTTACATTATGTCTGTATACTTGTATCTCCCATATCATTATGCTTGTTTCCCTGCTGAAAAAAGCAAGTGATGATCTGTATGTTTGTTATTTAATTAAATATTCATAATGTAACTCATTTTAATAGTTTATGTATGGCAGTAGTTTGCTGTATACCATGTAATTAATGAACAAGTGGGCTAAAACCTTATTTTTCATAGTTCTTATGGACTCTTTGTGAGGTTACTCTCTGTTGTTGTCCCAAGATGCACCTGAGATGAGAAAATACAGTACCACAGTGTTGTTCTTCTCACCCCATCTCGGTTCCACATGATTGTCTGAACTGTACTCAGTGTCCAGAATTTGAGCCATACTGCACAAGTTGTTCAAAAGCAGCAACTACAAAACTACTGCAGAAGTTGAGTCCTTCTTTAAAGACAGCAGGAAAATTGAAAGCTGATGTGGAGTAGGAGGGTGTTCCAGCTGGTGGATGTGTCCTATAGCACTACAGAATCAATTAAAGTGGTGACATAAATCACTTGATTCTAGGACACTGAGGTCTTGATGGGGAAAAGTATGGGGGTGGGGTGTGTGTAGATAAAAATGTGAGTGACTGCTTGGATTGGCTTTTTTTTGTCTCTTGTGAGGTTCACAAATTGCCATATGTTCTGGAGGCATACAAAGCTAGACTCTGAATGCAGGTTTTGTGTTTTGCAATCAAACTTGTGAGGGTGGAGGTGGACTGCCTGTTTTCAGAGTCTGACTTGTGGTTCTTGGCATGGATTTAGGTTTAATATGCAAGTCCCAAACACACTGATGGAATTTGGGTGTGGGGGTTTGTTTACATTCTCCCAGTCCAAACTTTTGTACTCTTCTTGCAGTGGGCAGTTTTTGACTCCTCCTCCCCTCCGCTTTTCTGGAGTTGAGAATCAAGAGACATAAATCTCAAAATACTTTAATATTTTGATAATTTTTAATACTTTTGCTTGTTTCACTGTGTTTCCATACGATGCTGTCTTCCGAAGTCTCGCTGATGTTCAGTGCCAAGTACATGGCAGCCCAAACCTAGCAGGAATTTCAGAAGTGTGCCTGTGCGTTTGAAACAAAGTGTTTGTGATTAGGAAGATTTGTTTGAAAAATTAATCGACTAAAGGGCTGTTTCACTTGAGAATCCACACTAAGATTCTGGCAAAAGAAGTAACTTTGTGTGTCAAATACACAGGCTGCCAGTGGAGAGAATGCAGTAAGGACAGTTCAAGAAGTTGCATGTTGTTAGACCACTCATGTTTGATGATGTGGCAAACTGTTAATTTAAACCGTATGAGAATTCCTCGCATGACAGCTTATATGTTTTAAAATGTTTGATATCTCTCTGGTACTGTAATTGCAAGTATGAAATTTCATGCAAGAAAAGCAGTGGTGGACGTTTAATTTAAAGTGAACCACCAGCACCATCTGGTGGTCTTTGCAAAGCTTTGTCCTGATCCTGGCTTGGCTCTGATAGCGGAGCTTAGGCCCGCCGTATGAGGGGACATGGACCATTCATAGCCAGTGGAGAGGAGGTGGAATGCACTTTTTAATTTTTATTTTTTTTTAATCCATTTGGATGTTTTGCAGGAAAATTAAATGTCTCCAGTATTACTGTTCCTTATTTAAACCTCCTTACTGCTTTAAGTGTGAGAGCTGTTAGGCGTATCTTTTTAAGTTAAGTGATACATGGCGTGATGACAACTACACCTCATGTTAGAAATGGGAAGGTGCTGCAAGCTGGAAACTGTGTATGTGCTTTGGGCTTTTTTCCCTTTTTGATGTGTCTTTAAAACACCTTTTGGGGAACAAAAAAGTTAAAAAAGAAAGAAGTTTAAAATACCATTGCATTTTGGACACAAGGGAAGACTGTCTTTGGGAACAAGATGTAATCATAGCTCTAATAATATAGACTTAAGGCCAAACTCATGGTTTGTTTGTTTTTTGTTGTTTGTTTGGGTGTTGTGTGTGTGTGGGGGGGTTGTTGTTACGTTGGTTGGTTGGTTTGTTTTGGGGTTTCTTCCCCCATGCGAAAATGATTGACGATGTCCTTATATGTGATGAGTGAAACTGGAGTGGGGCCACTGGACTGTCTTAGGGTAGTTTTGGAAAGCTCATTTGCTTATCTTCACAGTGGGGAAACTATTATGTTTTCACTTAATGTCAGTGGCAGTAGGTGAAGTTTGTACTCCCTTAAAATACTTGCCCTTTTGATCTCTGGTTGTCTTTACAAGGAACAACCCACATTTTTTTTCTGCTGAAATGCCCCTCGAGGAGTGCCGCATGGCATGTGTTCTTTGGCAGGCAATTGCAGCAGGAATAACTGGCTTGAGCAGAGCTGTGAATTACCCTGGTTGGCATTAGCTCAGCAAGGTGCTCCATGGGATTGTAGGAGCACATGCAGTCAGTCAGGTTTAGTAGGTGCTCTAGTGAGAGTGGTGAAATGAGCACAGTAAGGTAAGACTGGGTGGTCAGATGTTGGCTGTGCAGCATCTCAAGAATACTTGCTAATAGTAGTTCTTGGGCAGTCATGCATTTTTCCTTTGGATACCATGACATTCTTCTGCATAACCCAAATTGTGGAATTCGCCATCTCTGGGTATGAATGGGCTTAGGGTCTGTGGGAAGGACGCTTCTAAATGAATGGTTCACATGCAGACTGGTGTGTCATCTGTTCAGAGGTTTTGTTGACTGGGAAAGATGCTTGACCTTGCCTTTTGGGGTTTGGGTTAATGTTGCCTTAATGCGGGGAAGTGTGGGTTGTGAATTCCCTTTTCCCAAGAGGACCTGATAAGAGAGAAGGTTGCTTTGTCCATTTATTTTTATAGCAAAGTCACTCAAAGTTTCTCATTGTCATCCGCTTCCTTTATGACCTGTGCAAAGGGCCATTAGGAAGGGATGTGCAGGTGGGTGGTTTTGGTATACTAGTGACCTATGTCACCTCTCTGCTTGTCATCTTTAATCCTGTTACTGTTTTCCTGTCTTTGGAGAAGGAAAAGGAAACAGGGTGAGCCAAAGCAGCTCAGCTCAGTGGTGTGACTGAGGATGATGATGATGAATGAGAGGAAGCAACTGAGACATGTAGAGAGAACAACAGCCACTGTGAGCTGGTTCTTGCTGTCTCAGTGATGACTGGTGCCAATGCCAGTCTCTGAAGGAGCTCTTAAATACCATATTTAGGAGTGATACAGAGAGGGAAGATTTCTGTATTTATCACCAAGTTTTTTATTTATTTATTTTTTTTAAACTTTCTTTGATGAGGATCCTTGAAGAGGCTCCTGCTGTTCTAACCTAGGCTTTGATTATCACAGTCTAGATGGGATTGTTTTAAACTTGGCTGAAAATTGAAGGATTGCAGAATTCCGCAGCCCCTCTAGTGTCACATCTGGCCAGATGTTTGCAGGCTTCACACTGGCAATTAATTAGTTTCTGTTTGGAGATAAGCACTGCTGTTTCATCTGTGCAACCTGAGGTGGCAGAAGAGAGGCTGATAGTGGCAGCCTGAGCTAGAGGTAGCATTCAGGATCTTCTGTCTGAAGATCCTGCCAGGTTTTGAAATCATGCCTCATCCAGCACAGGGATGTCCACTTAAATTGCCCTATATGGCAGGTTGAAAATCCCTTTCTTTGTTCAAACTTTTGTGAAGGATTGCACAACAGGGTGGCTTTGTGAGGGTTTGAAAGGGTGTGATTCGCCTTGCTAGCAGATACTCTTAGAAAATCTTCAGTATAACTGGTGGAGGCCTTTGAAAAACTTTTTTTTTAGTAAAGGCTATTGATAACTTAAAAAATAAAGTGTAAGTTGGTTCTGGCAGTGCCACCACGTGTTCATACATGATTCAGTTGTGTATTCCGAAACTACAAGTCTCTCACTCTTTGTTTGAAACAGAAATGCTGGCTTGGGTGTCTGTTCCATGTCCTGCAGATTTGGAGGCATTTTGTCTCCATTTGTGCCATCTATGGTAAGATTACTTTTTACTTATAATGTAACTCAGATTTATTAAATTGTCTCATAAGCACTTTGCTGATTTTTTTTTTCTTGAAAATGATTTATCAAAAATTAAACAGTATTCACTCAATTTCAAGAATTAATGAACAAGAGGTATAGAAATACCTTGCATTCTATCCTTTTTGGAAATTAGATAATGTTCTGTGTTTAATATTTCATCTGTTGGTGAAACGATTGTCATAATACATTCAATACTGCTAAAACTCAACTCAGTATCTGAGTTCTTTTAGTGAACAAAATTTTGGTATGGGGCTGTTTCTGTGAAATGACATTTATTGGGGTTTTTTGTTCTACTAGTATATGAATAATTGCACAGATCACTGGAATGAAAAGTTGTAGCCTTCTGGTTTTGACTGGAGCTCATATGGATCATATATTTTAAGAGCAGGAAATAATGGTGGCTTTTTACTATGAATTTTTATTTTTAGAAATCTCTTAGTCATTCTGTACCGTTTGTGGTGTTTGGAATCACTGGACTGTCAGCAGGATTCCTGACTCTCCTTCTGCCAGAAACACTGAATAAGCCAATTGCTGAAAGCATTGAAGATCTCCAGAGCCCCAAATACCAAGTGCTTAAAAGTAAAGAGGTAGAATAATTTTTCTTTTTTCAACTGTAGCTTTACATTATTTCCCCCTCTATCTTATGTGAGCCTAGTATGATCTATACATGAGCCTAGTATGATCTATATGTGATCTATTACATAAGCCTATATGATCTAGTGTATATTGGTTAGATTATGCATGAATGAATGTGTACATGAAGTTTTGTAAAGATGTTTCTCACATTCAGTGGAGATTAAATTTATTCCTTATTTGGCTCGTAAAGATGAAAAGGCTGATACCTGTATGTATTAAATTCTATGTAAATTAATGTTATTTCCTTTCCTTAAAGGAAAACAAATTGTAGAAAGGCAGTCTGAAATAGTCAGGAACAATATATTTGGCAGCATTCCTGGGTTTTACAGTAAAACAACTAGGCATATTTTTCATATGTTGGATTGTGCCTGTTTTGTAGTGGAACATAATCTATATACCTGAGGAAGTGTTTTATCCTTCATTAGTCTCCTCGGTTAGACACATTTAAAGTGTTTTCCTGTTACTGATATGCACTTAATAAGACTTAGGCAGTGGGAAATGAAAGTTTTCTTTGTTTCAGCAGGTAATAGAATAGAAAATGTGAAGCACACCCCCTAAATTTGGGAATGGCTTCCCAGAATAATCAGTTTTAAAAGAAGGGGAGGGAGAGGGGAATTCCCAAAAGAAAGGAATTGTTTGCTTAGAACTAAATAGGCTTAGTGTTAGATATGTTTGTTTTTCCTTTATATGTTAGCTTAATTGTCTGGTAATACTACACACACTGTTATGCTTTCTCTCTTAGTAATCTGCATTCAGTTGGAATGGGAAAAAAATTGAGTTTTTAACTTCTCAGTTTTTTAAAAAGATTTTTCATTTCTGTATTTAAGATTAACCTATAAAATAAGACAAAATCAGACATGCAAACTGTTTTTCAATAATTATTTTTCTTCTGTCTGACAGGTACTGTTAGAAGAAAACACTTAAGTTTCAGAAGATTTGTCTGTGATGGAAAATGCAGTGTCCATTGAGAAGATGCTCTAATGGTTGAAGAGCAGATTCTTGCTCTATGTATCTGACAGGAAACGTTGGAGCACTCGTGTATAATGCTGTTTGTAGCATGTTAAACAGTTTTATGAAGAGGCAAATTGAGAAGATGGAAGAAATTGATTGAAGCCTGTGAGAAAAGAGATGACAAATTGGTGCATTAATGACTTGGCATGCTGTAGATGTTTGGACTTCTTTACAGCTCCTTAAAATGAAGTATTAATTTATTTTACAAAATGCAATTGCTTGCTTCAGATTAAGCTATAATGTTGTAATTGAAGTTATGTGTATGGTTTAAAATTTAGATGGCCTTATATATGCAGGCAAGCTGTAATCGTGAAAAGTAACAGCATCCTGTATATACTAATTTTCTCTACAGATTTTTTTTTCCCTCTAAATTACAGTATACCTCACAATGTGAAGAGACCAAAGATTTCTATAAGCTGTTTGCCGTAGTGTATCTAGCGTAAGAAACCTGAATAGGAAATCTGAAAGAAGTATAAACACATTTTATTGTGGGAGTAAATAATTTTTTAATACAGTTGTACATGAAAATATATATAAAGTAAAAAAAAGATACTATATTGGAAAAATTATGTCACGCCTTTAAGAGGAACATTTAAAGGAGAGAATGAGTAACTTTTTAGGCAAAGATTATTTAACTGGAGTTGTAAATGTGGAACTAGAAATTACTGAACAAGTCATATATTGTATAATATATGTAATAATATGTAATTCAATACATTTTACATATGAGTTGGAAATTGTTCCTGCAAGAGGGGGGGGTGTGTTTGGTTAACAGTTAATACATTTATGTTGAAATAGGTGCATCATATGTTACAATTTTCTGATAGCCAACACAGTTTGGTTATAAAAAAAAGGAAAATTATGTAACATGGGTACTAGGAGTGCTTTTTCCAAGATGTTTACCCAGACTTTTTGAAGACTACTTGTATTATTTTGATTTTGGCTCCCTATCTAATGTGTATGATAGGAAAAGGTTAATTAGAGTCCTCTCTATTTTCAGCAAGTTCCATAGTCAAGTAATAGTTGCACCCATGCAAGTGTATGTGCACTTATGCATACATGTATGTGCAAATAAGCAGGTTGCTCTGCCAAGATGTCTCAAAGAAATCTGTGCTGTGTCTATGCGTGCTGTACAAATGCCCTGATAGGTTTCCACGAGGTGAAAATCTGTTGGCAATCAGAACAACATTTAGATAATGCTGATGTACAGGAGGATTGCCTGTAGATTTATTTAACCTCTGGGGCTGAAGTTTGATGACAAACAACTTACAGAATATGCTGGAAACCCTTATCTTCTGCTCATTTATTTATTCATTATTTTTGTAATTTTTCACTTTCATGAGAATTAGAATTAAGTCTATGAGTTTCCTTTTTCTGAATAATAATGCCTTCCATTGCCTGAATATTTACGACCATAGTAACTGATTGTACCTCTTCAGAGGATAATTGGGTCAACAGGGATATGGTAAAGAGCAAGTTTTGTTATTGTTGACTTCAAATTTTGTTACAAGAAATAAAATTTAATAAGAAATAGAATGCTATAAAGTTGTATTCCCAAAGCAGAGATAAGGCTGGAATGGGAGGACTGTAAAGGTACCGTTATGTGGTGGGAGTCTGTCTCCCTTCTGCCACGTGCTATCAGCCCGTATCATGACATTTTCCCTCTGCGTTTTATTTGATGTCAGGTGAAAAAAGGGTAACAAAGATAATTTACATTTTGAACATCCTTATTTCTGCTTTATTTGACCTGGAATTTTACCTATGGTGACTTGTGTCAATTTTGTGGATTGATAACCTGAAAACTGCCCCGAAGAGAAGTTAATGATCTTTCCATCAACTCTGGCATTACTCATGCTACCTGCAGCAATTTTTGAGTGTAGGCTAGTGTGGAAACTGGTTTGGTACTTTGTCTCCAAGATCAAAAAAAGGATATAGATAGAAACATTGACTTATATTTTTGTTTCTTTTCAATTCAACACCTTGTTTGACTTTTAAGTTAACCTTTGCTGCTTTTTGCTATTGCTGGCTAAAAAGATGCAATTTAGAAAAAAAAAATAAGGGTTTTTTTTTCTTTTTTTTTTTTCCAGTTACATGTTTAGGATAAAGGAAACTATTTGCAACTGTATTAGAATTTTTTTCAGTTGGACTAATATTATCAGTGCGTTAGGACCCTAATGTTAAAAAGGTCCTAAAGTTAAAAAAAACAGCTGTGTCATTCATTACTGTTCTATGTCACAGCAAATCAGAAAAGGCAGCCAAATTGGTGTGCTTTTTGGAGTAGGTATCTTAAAACTTTCAACTTTGTAGAGTTAGAAATTCTTCGCTTAGAGCAACTCTTTTTCCTAATATTTTTTTAATGAAGACAAAGCAGTTTTGGGCAGGGATCTCCTAATAAATTCTTTACTCAGTGTGGAACTATTACCTATTGCTTTCCATTTCTCTGTAAAAAGAACAAGGAGTGCTGGGATTGTTTTTTTTTTTGTCTTAGGTGCTAAGAGTGCTGAGCAGAGGCAAAACTTGCACATTCATTTATGCCACCTGCATTTTAATGCCATTTTCCTGTCATTGTACAATATTTCTTCTTTAATTCTTGGTTACCTTTGCTTAAGCCCCAGTTTTTCCCTTATCAGAGGAAAAATATAAATTTTAAATATTCAAAAATATTTTTCCGTTGTTGCTCCAGTTCATGCTATCTTTTGTATTTCGTTTCACATTTTGTGGTTCCACAGCCACAGCAACCCATTCGGAACTGAGTATCAATGGGAAATCAGCTGAATATACATTTTCCTGGATGGCTGGCAAATATCCTCTGCTTTATTTTGTCACCAGCCAGCAATATACACCCACGCACTGTATTAAAAAGCAGGTCAGGTATAAAGGCAGGGCTTGAGTTCCTTTTCCTGGAAAGTAAATTTTGCCCAATATTCATGTCAAGCTCAGATCTTTTTCATTACCCCATTTGATGTTTCATCAAAGCTGTTTCCTCCATTGTTGGAGCACTATATGTTACTGCTTGAAGTGAAGTCTAGGGATTCATTTTTAGATTTTATCCTTTTTAATCTGAGCAGAGCGAAGTACAAATAATAATTTGCTTTGTTGACTAATACTCTTGCAGCTAAGCAGCTGAGAAAGGAGGAGGTGAACTTTTCACACTACCATCTGTAACCAGCTGGTTCTGCCATTTAATTTTTAGTTTGCTTGAGGCAAATAACTGTATCATGTATTACAGCATGCAAGAGATCTAATTTTTTTCCTTGCAGTGAGTTATCTGCAGTTCATTGGAAAGGTCATCTTTTTCCTGTCACTTGCCTACAGAAGATGTAAAATTTCCCAGAGATGACTTCTGAGAGATGGAATCTTTCCATTAGAGTTAAATTTGTGAAAATAGTGGACAGATGTACAGCTATAGGCAAACTGTCTGCAATCTGGGATGATCTTTTATCGTAGCACAATTTCTTTATACCAAGACTTCTGAATCTGTGAAGAAAGTTTTGGGCTGTAAGGTGCAGTGGGGGTGCTGTCTGTGCTCACCTGAGCAGAGTGGTAGACCAGAGTAGCTGGAGATGTTTGTGAGGGAAAGACAACGTGGCTGAAGAGCAGCAGAGATTTGGGAATCAAACTGTTCCCAACTCCTGCATACTTGCGGCATGATCCTGAATTACACCAGCCTCATTTTAACTTATAGTACTTTCTATACTAGATACACTCCTGTTCCTCTGATTAGTCTCCTGGTTTAGGAAACAAGCTAGGATTAGGAAGAATAAACCAGAAAACAAATATGGTGCAGATATTTTGACAGCTTATGTAAACACATTACGGCTCTGCCTGGACTGGTTTGGCAGTGTGGTTTCCTACAGTGGTCCAAAGATACCTGAAGCTGTGAAGGCTGATGGCTTTCACTGAAGGGAAGGAGTGCGTGAAATAGTGCTTTAGTGACATCTTCCCAGGTAATGGCAACTTAATCATGCTAATGGCAGGTAAAGCTGAATAGACTGGCCAGCTCTCTTTTTCAACAACTTCAGTCGACTGTGCTGAAAATTTTTATATTGGGCTTTTGTCAGTCAAGTAGCAGTACTGCCAACATTCTGTTGACTGTATTTAAGTGTCCTTGTCATGAAAGGCTCCAGGAAAAAAACTGGTCATTGCATGTTAACTCTTTTTCAAAGAGATTATGCATCTGCAAAATTCTTGTTTGTCACAGCCTCACTTGCATAATTTTCTACCTTCCACTGTACTTCTTTTCCATACTATCCCATCCACAGTGATGCAGGGCAAGGCTGAATCCTCATCTCTGTGTACCAGCATGCAAAGAAAAGAAAGTCTGCAGTATATTGCTATCACACCTAAGGAAACTAGAATCTCTACATGAAATGGAGTCACTCCAGATGTATACAGGTTGAAAGAAATTGCTATTTCTTTTCACCATCCCATATCTCATGGTTGGTCAGTTTTATAAATGTTGGTGTCAATATTCAGTGACAGCTGGCTCTGAAAACTGCTGCAGGAGAGCCTAGCAGCAGCGATGTTACACTCTGCTCCCTCCACTAGTTTCTGTTGCAGCTCTGGATGTATTTCATCTGTTTCTAATACAAATGCCTGATCCTTTTTTAAGGCCTCCTGATCTCTTGATTCCAAGAATATAATATGACAGTTCAGCAGTCTGTCATTGCATTGTGTTTGTTTCCCTTTATTGTTTTAGATTGGCTGCCTTTTGGTTCCACTGGAGACACCAATGATAGGAATGACAGCAAATAGGGATGTTTGACTTTAAGATACACCCTGCAGTTTAATGCTGTGTATACTGTCTTTTTTTCTCCTGTTTTGAGAATGTTCAATTATTTCTCTGAATGGACACTATTCCAGAGTGTCTAATTTTTGTATCTGTGTGCCTTGAAATGAGTAATGAAATGGCTCAAAGTGCTTGTGTAAAGAAACTCCCTCACCATGAGCCCAGTTTTATTTGTGTTAAGACCTGCTCTAAGCCAGTAGCATGGCCTCTGTGGGGAGTTGGAGTGGCTACTCTGACTTGCAGGAGCGTGTCCGAGAGAATTATTGCCCAATCTTCCTTTTAACAAGAGGGGGGCTCTTCAGTGTTGAATTCCTAAGCTGCTTTGATGGGATTTGAGGGACGTTTTCAATGCTGAGATTTCTGACTGATTAACCCGTGGCTATAGTGACCCAGATGGTTGGGGTCAGAGCTGGAAAGCAGCTCCACCTCCTGCCCCCCTTGCTATGCTCTCACTCCCCGGGGTAGCGGGCTGGGGTCAGCCAGGCTGGCCTGATTGTGCATCTTTTATCATTGCTGGTCTGCCCTGCCAAATTTTGAGGTTTCCTGGGGATTGAGCTTTTACAGAACAATTTCTTGGTATTTAGCTCCAGAGAAAGTTCTTTCTGCTGTGGTTTGCAGAGTTTGTCCCAGCTGTTGCAGCATCTTTTGGGTGTAGAAATGGAGCAGTGTGTGCTTGTGCACTGTACTGTGCTGCCTCAGGGGCCTTCTGGGTACAAGCAGTTGCAGGACTAGTTCAATAAAAATCTTGTAACCAGCAGCTTATTTCTCTGAACAGTTGGCTGCTTGAGGGGGTGAACACTTCTCAACTGGAGGGAACTTTTTACATTTGACCTGGTGGTTCTTCAAACAAACAAACCCAAAACTAGCACAGGTGAAAATGAATTTTTGAAATGAAAAAGCAAGGAAGAACTACGACTTATGCAGCAGTTAGTCACCTCTGTTGAAGAATATCAAAGAAAAGTAAAACTGGCAGCAGGAGGGCACCAGCACTCATGGTCTTAAATCGGTATGGATCTGATTTGACTGTTTATTATCTTTAATCCTAGTGGTCTACCAGGAAGGAGGGAAAATAATTACTAATGACAGATTCT